CATACGCCTAATGCGGTGTTGACACGGATCTGGTCCGTTCGCTCTTGCATATTGATAAAGTTAATGTACTAATGACACGGTAGCTAGGCATTTTGATACTAAATAGGCTGTTACGAAATTTGGTCTTATATTATATATCTAAGATATCGCACACCTAGATCTAAACTGAGACAACTCAAAAATTTGAGCGAGTTTTGACTAAGTACAATATTCAAATACTAGGTGATCATACCCATCTATCCAAGATAACAGATTCAATAAAGGTTCGGGGATGAGTCACTAGATGACTTTAGCTTTCTTTAGTTGAATCAACAGTAGTCGCGCTCCTGCCACGTAAACAAATGTATTGTCAGACCTCCACATTAGTTTTTTGAGTTGTCTTAGTTTAGATCTAGGTGTGCGATATATAAGATCAAATTGTATGTGTCATATCGCACACCTAGATTTAAACTAAGACAACTCAAAAAACGAATGTGGAGGTTTGACAATACATTTGTTTATGTGACAGGAGCGCGACCACTGTTGATTTAACAAAAGAAAGCTAAAGTTATCTAGTGGCTCATCCCCAAACCTTTATTGAATCTGTTATGTTGGATAGATGCGTATGATCACAGAGAATTTGAATATTGTACTAAGTAAAAACTCAATCAAATTTTTGAGTTGTCTCAGTTTAGATCTAGGTGTGCGATATATCTTATATTGTATTTTAATTATAATATGAGATATATTATCTAAATTAAGTATACTGAACAACTTTTACTATGCGAGCAACACTGAATTATTGAAAAAATATTTTTTTTACGGCTGTTTCATATAAAATTGTAATACTTACAATCTCTAACAGTATGAAACAGATCATTATCTTTTCGTCAATTCAGTGTTGATCGCATAGTAAAAGTTGTACAGTATATGTAATAACGTCTTTAGTGCTATAGGTTTTTGAGTAATCGATAAAGTTAAATGACATTTTTGAGTGGCAGCAGTGAAAGTTATTCGGCCGTATGTGTATCTCATGTTTATATTGTCACAAAGTTTATGATTGCCTTATTTTTTTATGGAATAATAGAGCAAAATTGGGTATAAGGTTATAATTTAACATGTTATCGTTTCCGCCTTAAAAGAATCTTAAAATGTTTTTCTAACTGAACTTAAAATCCATAAGCAAGAGATTATATGTTCAAAGGCAATTACATATGTTTCTTTTTACGTATGTTCACTGATATTTTGGTCAATTGTTAACCGATTTTCAAAATTCTTTTTTTATAATATACTGATTTCTTTATATTTTCACGCGCACTACTCATTAAATAAAACTATTTTAAACGGGCGTGAACGTTTCGGACCATTTAAAGGTTCCGTGTTCACTTAATACTAAGATGTCTATTGTTTTTAAATATTACTGGTACACACTGACACTCTTAATTTTATTTTAAAGATAAATTTCTTCAATCGATTCATGCCTTAATCTGTTGGTGTTAAAATCAAAATTGATTGTAGAAATTTGATCTATGCGCTTAACGCAAATAAAGCTTAACTAATAAGTTTAATTATAGAGGAACACTAACCGAATTGTTAAATTTACAGTTGGTGCAGGCAACACGATATGTTCACAAAAGTAACAATTATATATTTCATAGTGCAATTAAACTGTTTACATGTTAAAGTGTTAATTAACTCGCAATCTATTGCGGAAACTAAGCATTTTATGTGAAAATAACTAAAAACTAGTCTACTCGCTCAAAAGCATTAGTTTGGCACGAGATTTTATTTATAATGCATTTTTTGTACATTAATTGTTTCATTAAGTACTCCTGTAAGGAGTTCGATATGAAATTACTAAATCAAAATTAGATTACCAACGGGTAAATTCCTGCCCGCATTTGTTGGTCCTTCGAGCCGGATGACGTTTGCTTCGAAGTCGAAGATATACAAGATAATCTAAATTGAAATTAATTTCAATCAGTATGGATAATCTGTAACGTATTAAAAATTAATAGATCATACACTCAAATTATTGTGTTCTTAATAAACTATCTTTAAGTATATTTGGAAATACGAGTATTTAACAACTAAATATCAACTTTGTAGCATGTTGTAAATGTTATAACGGCTATTAATAATTTTCATTTACATTTGGTTTTAAACATAATTTATTCTGGAGTTCATTTTATGTTATAGTATAATATAATAGTTAACTCTTTCATGTAAAACAGTTTTGTATTTAGGCTAGACTATTATTTACTTTTGTTTTATTATTAAGAAAATATAAGCTTACATTGAACTATTGTTAAATTAGCAATTAATATATAATTTAAATTCCTTCATGCAGTAACAAAATATTCGGTTTTAATGTAACTGATGAAAATAGGATATATTTTCAAATTTTTTTCTTATTATAATAAACAAGACGTAACTGTATAACTTAAAAAAAAAAACTTTATGAAGAATATGTTATTTATTAATCAATGGTAATTACTATTGATTCATATAATTTATAACTATTATTTAAATAGTTTTACAGGCAAAAGATATAATTAGTTGTGCCAAATAATGTTTTTTTTTTATTAATACTGAACTGAACTGTACTTTGGTTGATGTAATAAATGCTTTTACCATCGAAGGTTGTTTGTGTGACTTGTAATTTAGTTAGCAGCCATTTTTACATTGAATAACTTATAATATTCTTGGTCCGATGGTCGATTTCAATTTTGCTGCATTTTGAGTCTGAACTAAATGTAAGTATATGATGTTTAAATACCTATTAACACAAGAATCAACAACTGAAACGTTACAGGTGTAAATTACACATACTAACGACTAGAATTGAAAAATATATCTTCTAATTATGAGAAACTTGTCAGAATAAAATTGCGCTAAATTATTCAAACATGGCCGAATTAGTTTTCTGACAAATTAACCCCATTATGGCTGTGAAATTAGCACTTTGGCACAAGTGTTATTTTCCCTTAATCACATATGTGAAAACATGTAGCAAAACATTTTATATTTTAAAACGATTTCTATGTACTCACCGTTGTGTATTTATAAACAATTATTCATTATAATTGATATTGTAAACTGTGTTTATTAAAATTTAAGGCTCAGAGCTTCATTAAAATATGTAAATCGTGTAACAAGGACCTAAATTATGTGTATATAGCCTTATACATAACATGTACTGTATATAGAACGCAAAAAAATACCTAATATAAATAAACAATAATAAATTTTTGTTTAAAGATATATTTTTCGTTTTATTTCTGACACTGAGCAAATAGAGGGTAAAAATAAAGGGTAACCCGGGGGCTTCGTGTCGGGGACATTGCTGATACGGTGGTAGCTCCGCCCCTGCCCTAAACTAATGCAACTTTGTCAAACTTTTAAGTGTTATTCTGTGAAAAACAGCCTCGAACTAGACTACTACGGCAGCATTGTCACACTATTTAAAAATAAACCTAGTCACCTAGTTAAGCTGACCCGTCCTTACATTAATTGTTAATCAGTTCATTACATTATATTATTCTTGCATAAAAATTTGGATATCGTAACGGCGGCATAAATAAATACCTTACTGATTTATAAAAAATTGAAGTTTTGTGCAGTCAGTTTACTACCGAATACTATCAATGCAATATAGAGGGTTCATAATGGGAAAGCCCTATGTAAGTATATTTTAAGAATTGAAAAATTTTGCCGTGCTAATAGTTGAAGCAAATAAGGACAGTCTTCTTAAGATGTTTATAATGGGGCCGTAAAATCACTAACATTAGTCTAAGTTATAAAATATAAGAGAGGTGTATGTTTATATACATTTTTGTTATTTCGATACTGTATATTTATATATTCTTTTTATGTATTTTTTTTCGAATGCGAAATTTATTGTTTTTTTTAATATACGGAGCTTTGGCGTCTCATACTCCTCAGGGTTATGGCAGAATATCAGGGATTTGTCTCCTTGTAGGCAAATCGTATCCTGAGCATTTTGCATTGCTGCAGCACACAACCGGTTGCTTTCTGGTTTAGTTTTGTTTGTTTTAGTATATTTAATCTTAAACAGTTATAATTTGAACGTGTTGTTGGAAATGCAAATAAAGTTTATTATTATTATTAAGTCTTGCGGTGTGATGTACATACCTTCTTAAGTACAATATTATTCAAGAGTCAAATATTATCTATAAACTTGACACATGCAAACAATACTGCATTCCGGACTTCATGAGTTCGTTAAAGAATATTTTGACAATTTCTGTTAAACATTATTTTAGAGTAAAACTCGCACAAGTTACTTATTATTTATTTTGGATTGCAGAAATAATGACCTACTTAGGCTTACATATACACTTTCATTTAATGAAGTTTGTTTTTCGGAATGGCTATTGAGTATTGTATACCCTTAGTGCTTCAACATTCTGAAATATTAAGCTTCAGAAAGCGTTCGCACATTTTTATCACGGCCTCTTAGTTTTTACTCGACTGCGCAACGCAAAGGAGGGTTGTCTGTTTTATAAGTACAGTTTATTTTATACTTTATTTCCGCGTGTGGATTACTTTAGTTACGATCCCATTTAAAGCTCCTAAGTTGAATCTTTTTGAATCCTTTCATAGTGTAGGTACCTATTACTGGTGTGCCTAATTTTGATCTATGCTGTACCTTTGCCTTTTATATGATTATGTAGATAAAATACGAGTATGTCATCAATTTACAATAAACACTTTCAGCATTAAATCGTAAATACTGAAACTATTTTTATGAGTGGAAAAGTTTGACTCATTTTTAGTGGCCACACATAAAGCGTCCGCGGCGAAAGTTGCTCCATCCGAGTCAAGTTCAATAACACATTATAACAGTAAACCGTCGTCGTGCGCACACGCTGCATTTCACGCTGATATTTCTATAAAAAAAAATATATATAAACCGTTATGTGGCATTGCATTTATCTTTCGCGACTTTAGACGCATTTTGTGACCTGGATCTGAAGTAGATGGATTAGTGTTTTAAAATGAGGAGTTTACAGATACTTTTGGTAATATGTTGTGTGACCCCTTACGTTTTGCCGGCTAAGTATTTGCCGAAATGGAAGAAACAGGTAAGTTACATAACTTAAAGTTCTGTGATTTACTGCTTCCGCTATTTGTTTATAAGATTGAATGTTCCTTATTAATGCGAGCTACAAATTAATTTATAATATTTTCAAATAATTGATAGTTAAGTGACTTGATAAATTATATAGGTATTAAGTATATCTAATTTCTATGTTCCGTAAATACTAATTCAACTGGATTGTTTTGGTCATAATAATTATATAGTTCATATAGCTCCATTCATTTTGGAATGGAATAAGTCTAGTATTTTATAACTATTCGAAGATATTTATTTCGCAAGACCAGCTGAAGTAGATATTGTACAAAAATTTCAAATATCTCTATCAAATGAATTGCATGTCAGGTACTTACATAAGTATTTTATTTATCCAGTTACTTGGTTATGTTCTAAAGATAGGTAGCTACTCTAAATACGGGCACATTACAAAACATTTTTGAACAAAATATTTCTCAAATGTTTTATAACAAGTAACACACACGTTTGTAGATAATCTCGATCAAGTATTTTATACTTGATTGTGATAGAGTTTATTATTCTTCGTCTATATTATTCTGTTCGATACAAAAATTTATTCTAGGTTTTGTTTCGGCTCTATTAAGTACGACATTTTTTTAAAGTTGACATATTTTTTGTTTTGCTGGTTTACACTTCTACTAAATTGTAGACTTAATTTTAAGTGTTGACATACGTACTCAAAATCAAGTTAACTACTTATCAACTTGGTACGTTGATAAACAAAAAAGCGATAATCAAATGTTTTTGTTTTTGCAAAATGACGCACGATGCGTTTCCAGTGGGTTTTCTTCGTGGCCCACTTTCTCATTGCTTTCTCGCGGCTCTTATTAGAAAGTTTGGTTGAATCACTCACTGCTTCGACTACACGAGATCCTGCCGATAGGATGTCAGGAGAGAGTTGCATTTCATTAAAATGCAACTCTCTCCTGACTCTTTGACATGATCATAAAAGGATTTTATAGTCATCATAATAGGCGTACAAGAGTATGACACACTGTTCTACTTGTATTAAATAATTGGCTATTATGATGTCTATGTTATCCTGGCGACTCGATCACGGTTCCCCAGGTCTCATTACCCAGCAGAGGGTATCCCTTAGGGGTTTTAGTGGGTATAAAAAAGCATATTAAATAATTACTTAATATTTACATTTATTATATGTTTATCTAGGAATAAAAGATTTGAAATATTCAATTCATCAACCTCCAAAGTGGACGACTTAAAAATGGCAACCTAAACCTCAGAGATTTTCGTGTAGCAAATATTAATTTAGCGTTGAGTAAAGTAAATTAAATTAATAAAAAAATATATGCGTCTGCTTAGATAACATCTTTTCACACGTTGAAAGGTTTGTGTATGCTTTATTTTGCAATTTTATTTAATAACAGATTGATATGGTACTGGTCATTCAGTTATACAAATAAACAATCACTTTCTCGTACGCATAATGGTTCCATAATTATAAAACAACATCATGATATTGATGCGATGTCTAATTTATGCACACTGTATGGTGTGTCATTATGAGAACATAAATAAATAAATCGTTATAGGCATTTGCATGTTGCCAAATTATCCACTTTTAAATTAATGTTGCTAGAGTTTTTCTGCAGTTATTTTTTTCATTAGTTTGGTCCTATTCAAATATAAGAGTTATGCGTAAGGTTGCATCTATAGAGCTTACAAATTAATATATACTAGATTATTTAGATATACCTATTACGGTTTTTTGTTATATAACTTATTATATATCTATAACTTATTTCTATTATTCTTCAATTATATCCAGTCAAACTATGGACAAACTATGGTTCATTGCGGAGTAAGTTAAGGCAAAAATTTTACCCGTAATTCACCAATATAAAGAAAAAAAAATCCACAATTCATGAATGTGAACAAGACTTGCCATGGCCAACAGACGATTCTAACGCCTTTAGTAACTGCAATTAATAACATTACCGCTAAAGAACCGCTGCAGCTGAAATTAGTATTATATTTCTTCATGTGACATGAGTTAAGTTTTGTATTACCATTGAATTAGTTTTCAAAGTCCGGTGTGGTGCAGGCGTGCGAGCTGCCTACGGTTGGTGAGCACAGTCACTACGTGTGCGATGATAAAGGCGAGCCGAAGTGTTTACCGGGATGGCAAGGCGACCTCTGCGACGTACCTATATGCAAGAAGGGCTGCGATCCTTTACAGGGTGAGTGTTTATGTAAATACCGGCCAAATGCCAGTCGGCCTCGCGCAAGAAGTGTTTCATACCATTATCCATTTAAAAAAATCACGTTTGTTGTTTTTTTTTATGACATGATCGTAATTGTCGACTATTAGTTGTAAACTTGTTAAGTCAACTTAAGTGTGATAGTTTTCCTTTTAACTTCTTTATATAGATACCTAACATTTGAATTTTTTGCCATTGGCGGTTTAGGGGGGAGGACTAACGAAAATTAGCTTTTTAAAGTCACAAACGGTTTACTAAATCGAAAAACGACCTTGCTACACGCCTAATGTTTTTAAAAACCTATCCATCGATGTCGTACTCGATAGGGAAGATGAAAAAAATTTACCAAACCCACTTTACATTTAGGGTAGGTAACCTAAAAAAATATATTTTCAAAAATTTACTTTAACACTTTGTCGGCGTAATTAATGTGTATACTCGTGTCAAATTATAACTTTCTAGTACCAATAGTTTTTGAGCTAAACCGCTGACGGACGGATAGACGGATATGGCGAAACTATAAGGGTTCCTTGTTTAATACGGAACCCCAAAAATGATAACATAATTTCTTTGTGGTCGACGCATTATGTAATCTTCTTCAATTGTAATCAAGCCATTATCTTAACATTTCCTCCGTAATTACACATACTAAGTTTCACACTGTCTATCCATATTTTCTTTGATCTTCCTCTCTTTACATTTTTTCCACATTCATGCTCATTTTGTTACATGACATCTCTTCTCATCACATGTTCCATGCCAAGCATGGTCCATGCCAAGGTAACATATTCTTTTATGATAGTGGCGCTACTTTGAAACTTCCATAATGTACTCACTCTTCAGTTTGTCTCAAAGGACCTTAACCTAAGGTCGAATAAAAAAAAAATCTTATTAGCGGGAAAAATATGGATTTGAACGTTATTTAGAAGACAGAATTTATCATTCTTTTAGAACGTGTACAGCAGTATATTATGTTTACTTTCAAAATGAAAGCGTACACTATGTCCACAATGTCTCTAAAGCGTTAAAGAAAGCTTCGATTGTTTAACTTTTACGACAAAAGGTGGCCTAGAATGGAAAGTAGAGACTGTCTTTATTATTTCTTACGAGTATTGTGTACATAAAACTCATGATACTATACTTATTTAACGTTATTTGTATTTGAGTATCATTAAAAAATGTTTGCAAATAATTGAATACCAATTCTGCCTCCACACAGTAAATTACAATTTATTCACAATTTTTCATTTTTCAGGCTTAATTTAATATGAGCTTTTAAATCAAAAGTGTAAAATATAGATTGAGTGTGATATACTTAACATTTGTTTATTTAATTAAAAAGTAATATGCGCGCGAGGATTCCCAGTAACGTTTTGGAGAATACCCGAATTATTACCTACTTACTATAATAATCCTTATTACGTGAACATAAACATTAAATTTTAAGAAAAAATAAAGAAATTAACCGTTCGCACTTCGCGTTCATATAACGGGGAAGACCCGAAGATTTTAGCACGTATCATTGCTACTTCGGGTTTTGCCAGCGTCATATCGTTGGTTATTTTAAACTAACAATAAAAATTATAAATATCAATTGATATATTTCAACGTATGCATCAATCGATATATATCAAATATATATATGTACCATGATATATATTATATCCGTTGATATTTACCAGCGAACCCTGTCAAGAATTATTTAGACAATTGACACAAAAATCTATATTTTTCTAGAGGTCTATTTACTAGAGGTTTTACTCTACTTACTGTTCTACGACTCTACCCACCTTACTTATGTACTTAATTATTTTAAACATAAATAAACGTGTAGGATATTGTAAGCGGCCGGGTGAGTGTCGTTGCAAGCTCGGCTTCTACGGGGAGAAGTGTAACAAATGCATCCCGTTGCCTGGCTGCCAGCATGGCTACTGCAACGTGTCCTTCGAGTGCATCTGCAGAGAGGGCTGGGACGGACTCTTCTGTTCTGAACGTAACTAATCGCTACTAATATTTTAGAGAGGATAAATTTGCTTGTTTGTTTGCATTTAATAGGCTCCGAAATTAAAAATTCTTTCACCTACAGATAGCTACATTATATACGCGTCACATAGGTTATAATCAGTGGTCGGAATTAGGTAGAGTTATTCATGTACTTACACTGATTTCATACAGCGAAAGAATAAAGTGGATATGCCTCAAATCCCGAGATTAATTTTAAAGAGCAGAAAAAATCCCGTGATTTTTTAAATAAAAGTTATTTACTTTTACACAATCTAAACTACTGCACGCACGACGTTGCCAAACTTACACCAATGAAAGAAAGAAATAAAGAAAGAAGAAATAAAGAAATCCCGGGAAGGTCCACATTAATATCAACATTTCGATGCAAGTACATAAATAACTCTACCTAATTCCGACCTCTGGTTATAATTCAAACGGGCAAAGTCGCAGGAAAACCGCTTATAAGTAATAAAATTATATATTTTAAGTATGTCGCTGAAATATCGGTTTTCAGTTATTTGGTACTGAAACTGTCCGGGGTCTAAGTTTTCTATGTTATGATAGGTTGATGTTGGTTATTGACACGAACCACTCGAACAAAGTAATCATATCATTACAATAAAGATAGTTCGAACCACAGAAAATTTACTATTAAAATAATGGTTATCAAAAACAAAATTTGAGTATTTATAAATAGAAAAATATCTAATTATTATATTTGATCAGATGATATAATTATATTTACCCTAAAGAAAATGGTTAAAAAAAAATGGTGGATTTCTAACCAGAACAGTCGCCTGAATTAGGAAAGTTGTAGATTCAAAATTTCGTATCCCATTCTCAGGCGTCTGGAAGCTTCTGGAAGACCATGAAAAAGGAAACACATCTTTTTTAAAATTTTCTATTAATTTATTATTCTTGACCGTTATTTTTTTAGACAGTATGCTAGTAGATGAATGAGATTACAACGCGCTCAAAGTGTTATATGTTACCAGCTATCTGTCGTTCCGACTGTCACGCTACGCGCGGTTACTGCGAGTCGCCGGGCGAGTGCCGGTGCCGGCTGGGCTGGTCGGGGCCGACGTGCCGCGCCTGCCAACCACTGCCGGGCTGCCAGCACGGATACTGCGACAAACCGTTGGAGTGCAAATGTTCCCCTGGTTACACTGGCCTGCTGTGTCAGACACGTGAGTCCTTAACTCTGCTAGTGATACGATCAACCACTGCCGGGCTGCCTGCACGGATACTGCGACAAGCCGTTGGAGTGCAAATGTTCCCCTGGTTACACTGGCCTGCTGTGTCAGACACGTGAGTCCATAACTCTACTAGCAATACGATCAACCCCTGCCGGGAATTAGACATTTAATAGAGTACCTGGATGACCGAGATATTTTTTCTTGGCAAATGAACCCGCGCTAGATGAACGGCAAGCTAAAGATCTTTCTATTTTATTACAACATGACTCAACAAGTTTCCCGTGTCAATATACCGTAGGAGAACACATTATCAGAGCGCTGAATGTAAGTTTTTTTTACTTTTATGTTCATCGTTGATCGTAAACGCATTATGATTATAGTATGGAATCCGGTACAGCGCCCCTAGCGGTAACTATAAAGAACTACAAATCTCTATACAAATTCATAATACGGCCACTAGTGAACGCGTTAACGTAAAACTTACCACTCAGGGGAGCGATTTTGTGCGAATTTACCTCAAGTAGCGGCATCCGTTTAATCTTGAATTGGTAATAATGTTTCGTGGCATAAGTGAAGTGAGTTTTGAAATGGCACAGGAATAGAATATCTGAGACACGTATATTCAATCAGTTTTGTTTTGTATTTTTATAACAATAAAATGCGTTTAATAGAATTTTTACACTACATGACATGAATTTAGACACACGAGGGAACTCGAATTCGGGTCTTTATTTTTACAGAATCGCTGGCAGCCCTGCGATTCTCATCAAAAAAATATCACCATTTATACTCTTTGCATTAATACGGGGCACATGAAAACATAAGAATTATTCCTAGCGACAGCTTTTTCTTTTAGTTATTTATATAATCAGTGTTCTTATTAAAGGATGTTAAAGGTTTTTCTTTACTGGACTATTGATTGAACGGCCTACATTGAAGGTCGGTCCCCTTCACTAACGGACATTACATTAGTCACGTGACTAAATTCATAATTATATTCATAACTAAATCGTATATAAATATAAGACGAAATACTTTTTATTATTCATACGCGTTACAAATAGGCCGTGGGGTGCCGGCCTAAGAGTAGCACCCCCCCATATCCTCCCGTGGGTGTCGTAGGAGCCGACAGAGGGATTATACGGAAGGCGGGCAGCAGCGCCTCCTGGTATCATCTACCACCACCTACTGCGATCCCCAAGTCGCCTGCCAAGCGTGGGGATTATGGCAACCCCCCCCCCCTCATGATGGACGACAATGATGTACGGCCCCCAGTCCCCGGCAGCCCCTCTATTCCTGTCTCTGGTAGCGGGACAGGTAACGGAGGGGCAGGGGGTGCTAAGAATCTCCGGCAGATTAGGCGCTACCAACACAAACGGACTCTGGCCCTGGCAACATACAATGTCCGCACACTGAGGACTGACGTGAAGCTATTAGAGCTGGAGGAAGAATTGAGCAAGTTGCGATGGGACATAGTGGGATTATCCGAAATCCGAAGAGAGAGCCAGGATACGGTAATCCTTGAGTCCGGTAACATGCTCTTCTTCCGGGAAGGAGATCAAAAATCTCAAGGTAGGTCCTACTTCACCGTTGTAATGGGGGACTTTAACGCGAAGCTGGGCGCTTCGAACGGCGATGAGTTGAGGGTGGGTCGATTTGGGTATGGGCGGCGCAACCACCGGGGCCAGAAGCTGGTCGATTTCATGGAGAAGGAGGGACTCATTGCGATGAAATCCTTCTTCCAGAAGAGACCCTCCAGGAAGTGGACCTGGATGAGCCCTGATGGTTCGACAAAAAATGAGATCGACTTCATCATGACAACCAGAAAGCACATATTCAATGATGTCTCCGTGATCAGCAGGGTGAAAACCGGTAGCGATCACCGAATCGTTAGAGGCACATTGAATATCAATGTTAAGCTCGAAAGGTCACGTCTGATGAAGTCTACGCTCCGTCCTAGTGCTGCTCATATCATGGACCCCGAAGCCTTCCAACTCCAACTACACAATCGCTTTCAGTGTCTAGCTGAATGCAAGTCTGTGGACGAAATAAACAACGGGTTTGTAGAAACAGTCCAAGCTGTGGGGTCTAAGTTCTATAAGGCCCCGCGCCGTATTAAATCTCAAAAGCTCTCAGACGAAACGCTCAAGTTGATGGCGGACCGGAAGGATATGAGACTGCAATCTTCAACCGATATGTCGGAATATGGTCCGACAAATTTCCAAATCGATGCGACGCGATCTGCGCTCCTATAATACTACACGTATTAGGGAGGCAATAGAGCGGAACCAAGGCTCCAAAGTGTTTGCACGAAATTTGTCTGCTGGGTCGAGTCAGATGACGAAGCTGAAGATCGACGACGGCAGGATCGTATCTTCAAAACCGGAGATTCTGATTGAGCTTGAGAGGTTTTATGGACAGTTGTACACATCATCACAACAACCCGTTGAAAGCAATGCTCAGGACACCAGAGCAAAGCTGACCCGACATCACACCGAGGATATCCCAGACATCAGCCTGTACGAGATTAGAATGGCACTCAAACAGCTGAAGAACAACAAGGCACCGGGGGATGACGGAATCACTACTGAACTTTTGCGAGCGGGTGGAAAACCGGTACTCTTAGTCCTCCAGAAATTGTTCAATTCCGTCATTCTCGAGGGTACGACGCCAGAAACGTGGCACAGAGGCGTGGTTGTGCTCTTCTTCAAAAAAGGTGACAAGACCTTGTTGAAGAATTATAGACCAATCTCGCTTCTGAGCCACGTTTATAAGCTGTTTTCGAGGGTCATTACGAATCGTCTCGAACGCCGGTTTGATGACTTCCAGCCTCCCGAACAAGCCGGTTTCCGAAAAGGCTTTAGCACCATAGACCACATACATACGCTGCGGCAGATTATACAGAAGATCGAGGAGTATAATTTGCGACTTTGCTTAGCGTTTGTGGACTATGAGAAAGCCTTCGATTCAATCGAAACCTGGGCAGTACTGCAGTCCCTCCAACGATGCCAAATCGACTACAGGTACGTCAAAGTGTTGAAGCGTTTGTATAGCAACGCCACAATGTCGATTCGCTACCAGGAAGAGAGCACGAAACCAATCCAATTGCGCAGAGGCGTGAGACAGGGAGATGTCATTTCTCCGAAACTGTTCACGAATGCATTGGAGGACGTCTTCAAGCTCTTGGAATGGGACGAATACGGCATCAACATCAATGGCGAATACATCACTCACCTTCGTTTCGCCGATGATATAGTCATCTTGGCAAGATCGATGGAGCACATCAGTACAATGCTCAGCGACCTGAGTATCGTTTCCAATCAGGTGGGTCTTAAAATGAACATGAACAAGACGAAAATCATGTCGAATGTCCATGTTGCACCCGTACCGGTGGACATTGGAACTGATACTCTCGAAGTTGTCGATCACTACGTGTACCTTGGACAGACAATCCAGTTAGGTAGATCCAATTTCGACAAAGAGGTCGCTCGAAGAATCCAACTCGGCTGGGCAGCGTTCGGGAAGCTACGCGATATCTTCACGTCCAAATTACCACAGTGCCTAAAGACGAAGGTGTATAACCAGTGTGTGTTGCCAGTGATGACCTATGGCACTGAAACGTGGTCCTTAACTGCTGGCCTCTTAGAGAAGCTCAGAGTCGCTCAGCGAGGCATGGAGAGAGCTATGTTAGGGGTTTCTTTGCGCGATAGGATCCGAAACGTGGATATTCGCCAAAGAACTAGAGTGACCGACATAGCTCGCAAAGTTTGTAAGCTGAAGTGGCAGTGGGCAGGCCACATCGCTCGACGAACCGATAACCGATGGGGACGAAAGGTTCTCGAGTGGAGACCACGAACCGGAAGACGCAGCGTGGGTCGACCCCCGACTAGATGGACGGACGACATCGTCCGAGTCGCGGGCGGCCGCTGGATGCAGCTGGCGCAATGTCGTCCGTCGTGGAGTTCAAAGGGGGAGGCCTATGTTCAGCAGTGGACGTGTTCCGGCTGATGATGATGATTACAAATCACATAAGCTTTACGGGAATGTAATCATTTCTTTTGTAATTGTGTTACTTGATGAGTTATCTAATCGAACATTGTCGTATTTGAAATATAATTCAACGTAGAAGAATGTATGACAATATAAGAGTTTGTTTATCTCAGCTCACATCTTGCGCTCCGGCTCCTAAAGTTAGATGCGTGTTTGTACTCCGCAGAGTCGCTTATTTTAATAGTGCGGAATTACGGTGATATCATTGATAAAACATAACTAGTGTGGAGACTATTCAGTACGTGTATCGTAAAGAAGGCACTATCAAGAGCGAAAAATATTTGAGATTTAGTCCTAAAATTAGACAAAACTAGGTATAATCTAAGTTCCATTCTAGATACAAAAATCGGTTCATAAAACTCCAATTTATTGTAATTATCACTTTCAATAATTTTGTAAAACTATGTATATAATAATTTAGCAAAAGTATGGTCTGTCAATTTATTCGGTTGTTTATTTTAAAACACCTAAAAATAACAATTATCGTCGTTTACTAATTATGACATACGTGTTTTATTATTGGTTTGAAATATGTTCTTTTAGTTAATCTAAAAAGGGTGTAATGCCATCTTTAAGTAAAGTCTATTATTTTCACCAAATTATTTGCATATAAGTTTCTTTGAAAGTATAACTAAAATTTACAATCGCGTAACTTAACAAACGACACCGTTTTTCCATAATATTTAAAGGATAACGGATATGTAAAATTTCACTCATTGAGTATTTATATGTTTATTTATTTGATTTATTTAAACGTATATACTCGTATACGCATAGATGTGAATTAAATATGTTTAAATTAGACTTTCATAAACAGTTAGGAAAATACAATAAGTTAAAAAAAAAAATAACATTAAATGGAATATAGACAAAAAAGTCCTTTGAAATTCTAACAATAACCGTTTAGTTGACTCTTACGAAAATTGCTACTTTAAAGCTTAATAAGTCACGAACAGTTTACTAAATTAAAAAAAAACTTTCTTTCCGCACATTTTTTTCCTAGTAGGTACTTATTTGTTTACGGGGCCTTCAACCCCAATTTACGATTTGATCAAGGCCACCCAGGACCAGAGGCCCAGGGTGTAATAGGCCCTTTGGGTAACCATACAAATGATCATCGATTTGCTTAATGCGTATATATCTGATGTAGAATATTATTTCTTAAACTTGTATGATTAGAAGCTGATAGTGGAATTATTAAAAGAGGTTTTGAATTGATTAAAATTTTCTACTGCAGCTATCTGCGCTTCTGGGTGCCACAGTGAGAGGGGTTACTGCCGTCGGCCAGGAGAGTGTCGCTGTAAGGTCGGTTGGACGGGACCTTCGTGTGCCCAATGTCACCCGTACCCTGGCTGCGTGCACGGCACCTGCGAGAGACCCTGGGAGTGCGTCTGCAAGCCTGGCTGGGGCGGCATGCTGTGCGATGAAGGTATTGCCAATAAAGTTGGGAATAACCTCGTTTGAATCCACAAATAGTTCATTATTGCCTATTTATTTATATTTCTTTTCGTAATCATAACGATGAAGCGGAATACACCTTTACGCGTATATTCAGTCATTCTTTAATACATAGGAAGTAAAACGGCTATATACATATATGTTATTAGAAGAGCTCGATGACCAAGTAGCCTTTTACAACATTTAACATTTGGTATATATACTTAGTACGGATATTTAAAAAAAAATGAAAGAGCCTATCGATAGAGAGGACCTGTGCTTCAGCGGCGAGGACACTTAATAGGACAATTATAATTTCGCATTCATAATGCTATGCTATACTGAAAAATATTCTCAATGAAAAAAGGTTAAAAAATTCACTTGGTCCCTGGTACCCAGACATGTTCGGGATGCGAACCCATGACTATTCGCAATCCAGGCGACTGCTCTAACCACTGAGCTACCCAGGACTCAGGATGCCAGTGGATTTCTTAAGCATTCTTCATTAACAATATATTTCATTTTCAAATTTCAACATGGTGACTTCAGTCTAACTTATTAATACTTTTGAAAGTCAATATTTTTTTCATTTTACGAATGCAGAATTTTTTTTTTTTTATAAAATTAACGTTAATCTATTTAGTTAATTAAAAAAAGGCTAAAGTATACTATTCATTTTAACTGGGTTTCTCGCTTGATTTATTTAGCCGTTAGCTTCTTAAAACTGCACCGCGGGGACTTCCTGTATGCATAACATGCTGTGTTACCAAATACGACGACGAAGGATACGCGTCCAGCTTTTTGCTATTCCAATTCGGTAGAACATGGAATCTTATGTTCTATGTTTAATTCACGTCTGCTTCAGACGCCAATACCCAAACAAGTTCTTTAGAAACAACATTCCAATAGCGGAATCATTTTACAGCCAGTTACTTTAGACATGCCATATTCGTATATAAGAAGTTTACCCTAGTTAAATAGTTCTCATAGCATAACTTTTGAGAAGGTATAACATAAAATACGCAAGAAAACGCAGCCCTTTTTCATTCGATTGATACTTAGGAAGTAATCACAGCCAATAATACCAACAGTTTTTAAATAAAAACTTTTTCTTGAATCATCTATTAACAAGGTTACATGTAAAAATCGATACCATTTTCTATATAGAGCATAGACAAATGGACTTTCTAACCATAGGTAACTTTGCATAGGCTACATAGAAATATTAATTTGTAATGAATCGACGCTCAATTTCGGCCAGGGATGCGATTGCTTTACCCTCTAGCCAAAGGACATTCGACACCATAGTAATGACATGGCGATATTTCATTTTACTACTTTTAATGTTTTTTGTTGAATGAACGACCGAGTTGGTGATATTGCTGCAAAATCCATCATCAATATTCTTTATTTTGTTCTTCATAATTAAAGTTAAAGTGTATGGCGTTATTTCGTTTTAGTTAAACGAAATAACGCCATACACTGCTTGTTTTTATTTCATTTTAATACTGACGTTTTGAAATTCCTTTCAGTGCTGATCTTTTGAAATATCTTCGTGAACTACAATTCTATAATCTTGCAGTCTGTCTCTGAAAATATTGTAGCGGAATATAATAGAGATTTATTTATTTATTAAATATCTACGCATGCATAAAAAATCCCTGTGAAAATTATAGATTATTAAATCAAACTTTTTGCCCCTTTTTAATACAACTATTAGTATAGACTAAGTAATAATATCTAAAATTATTCTAAAACAATGTCATTGCATTTCAGAACTGAATTACTGCGAGAAGAATCCTGATACATGCAAGAATGGGGGCAAATGCCAATCTTTAGAAGCCAACGATGGCCATTACAGATGTCAGTGCCCTGCCGGTGTCAGCGGTAGAAATTGCGAGAAAATTCCAGAAGGAATGACCACAGAAGTCACTACCATTGAAGAAACAACCGCGGCCGCTATAAGTGAAACAGTCCAAACGAATACTACGGAAGCTGACATTGAGCCTGACAGTGTTGATAATGAGACAGAATGATCTGTTTTGAAAGTTTAATTAATTTGCTTTAAAAATCAGTTAAATCTATGGTTTCTTCAAATACTCTTTAATAGATTTTGCCTACTCTGTGCAAGAACGAAAATTCGGCAAATAACGGGCCATTATTTTAATTTTGTTGATTTAATATCTGTGAAGATTATCTTTGCAACAGCGGCAATGTCTGCCTCTTTTTACATCGTAAATTATTTGAGTTTTATTAGTGTTTCGAAAATGGATGAAATTTCGTTTTTGGTGAAAAAGAGTAGGCCTTTGATTAATATTTAATTTATTATCACATGACAAGAATAATTATTATCAAATTCGAGATATTTTTGAATATGAATTGTATGTTACAATAGTAAAAATATAAAGGTGCTATTTAACAAGAGAATGAATTATATTTTCAAACTTGAAAAAGTTTCTAGCTTTTTTGTTATTTTTTATCCAGTAGTTAAAACAGACGTATAAAAATTAAGTGTTATTAGAATAGATTAAGTGCTACGAATTTATTTTTATTTTACCTTACTTATTTTTAAGGTGAACTGTGTGAGTGTGTTTGAATTGATTTATTTATTATGCGTGGGCGTGTAATGTATTTATTGGTTGTTGAATGTTTAGTTAATATTATGACTGAAACTGATTTATACTTAATTTTATTAAACGAATAAATATGATATATTGAAGTATATTTTAGTATTCATTCTTTTGACCTTTTTGTTTTATATAAAATATATTACTTACTTAAGTTTTTTTTTTTTTTTTATTTTTTTTTTTATATAAAAAATGGAGGGCAAATGACTGCGCTCCACCTGATGGTAAGTGGAGGCGCAGTCCAAACGCGAGGACAGCTAGTGTAAAACAGTACGTAGGTACTGCACTAGCCAACCTCACCTTGCCGACCTGCAAGATGCTTCTTCACGCCCCGCTTGAAGGACCCCATGTCATAGGATGGAGGGAATACATGGGCCGGGAGACAATTCCATTTTTTGGAAGTACGACAAAGAAATGAGTCGCCAAATTTCTTTGTACGCGAAGGAATCGTTGCCACAGTTAGTTGGTGGCAACGCAAACCAGCACGTGTGGTCCTGAGGAGGAAGGGAGATGGGGGGATAAGGGAAAAGAGTTCTTCAGAGCATTCACCATGGTAGAGACGGTAGAAGACGCTGAGCGAAGCAACGTCTCGGCGCAGTTGCAGGCTTTCTAGGTTCTTGGTGACTTCACCATTGCCAATAATGCGCACTGCGCGGCGCTGCAATCTATCCAAAGCATCGAGTAAGTACCTAGCGGAGCCATCCCAAAGGTGCGAGCAATACTCCACGCATGACCGGACCTGCGTTTTGTATAGCAGGCACAGTTGTTCGGGCGTGAAAAAACGCCGCACCTTGTTCAGGACACCGAGTTTACGTGATGCTGTTTTAATAACAGACTTTTAATAAAAGTATTTATTAAATATCAACAGCATTCACAAAAATATTTTTAGCTATTACGTAACTATTTATCCTGAGGAGAGTTTTTTCCTACGTGCAGGTAAGTTTTGATATATGATTAAGTTTAGTTATGACACACTATAATTAAATACTAAATAAAAGATAGACCAAATATTAAAGAATCTAGAAATGTTAACAATTATTTTTCACTGGATGATTTATTCAGAATTTCAATTGGTGGTATATTTAGTACGGGCAATACCATCTTCAACCATCAACAAAATGGGGATGGGAATGTGAAATCACATAGAAAAACGTGCAATAAACTGCCAGGACCAACAGCTAAACGTATCTCCCGAAGCATAGAGGAGCTTTAAATTATATAGACTCCGTTCATCTGTCCAAATAATAGCCTTTGCTAACGTTACTTGACTTCCACAATCGTAGTCTGAAATAGCTAACTACGGTGCTCTAATGTTGGGATCAGCAGTAGATCTGGATGGCGCAATGAAATACTGGTATAATTCTTCAGTCTAGATTTTATTTCAAATCAAATCAATCTTTATTGTTGATCACAGGTCATATAAAGATATTGGATGCAAGGACTGAATAGTTACACCGTGATCTGCCTAAAAGGCATACAATATTAGTAGGTTAGTAATTGTCAACTAATCTAATCAATAACATGTTATGTCAAAAAATGTTATACAAAGTACTGTCAGCTAGATACTCGTTTACTCTATAATATGCTTTAGCTACTAATAATTTACAAAGTTTTTTTTTAAAAACATTACAATTATCCAGATTACGTATTGTTTTTGGAATTTTATTAAAAATTTTTGGAGCAATACAAAAGATACTTTTGTTCAACAGAGCTGTCTTAGAGGGTATTGCACACAATTTGTCTCGATGACGCAATCTTGTCTTATTTTCAAATAGTTGTTGATTCTGTTTGACAAAAATACCAACTTTGAATATATAGATTGATGGCAGGGTCATAATATCTAGTTTAATAAAATATGACCTACAGGTATCCGTACTCTGTAAACATATTTTTTTCTGGGCTCTAAAGGCAGTTACAGAATCAGTCGAATATCCCCAAAATAAATGCCGTATCGAACAGTAGAAACTACGTACGCGTGATAAGCTGTAAGGACCGTGCACTGATTCGCGATCCTATTAAGTTTGTACAGTGCACAGTTTTTGCAAACATGTTCAGTGTGTGTTTTCCAAGTCATCCTTTTATCAATATACAAACCTAGGAATTTTGTGACATCTGATTCTTTTATTTGTGTACCAGCATAGTTAATGTTTAAGTCAAAGAGTTGGTTAGTTCTTTGTCGGAAATTCATAAATTGAGTTTTTTCTAGATTTATTTTAAGATCGTTATGATTTAACCACTGAATAATTAACTTTAATGTCAACTTTAACGCGTTATTTGCGAATAACATACATCAAATCACTTACAACTCAATGCTAAGTTAAACTCTGCCGGTCTGGATCAGAAAATGATTATACACCAGCAAAACACGAACACGCGAATTCGAAAAAACAATAAATCAAAATATTAACGGCCAGCATTGACCATAAATTGTCCGAAGAGTAAACCTACCTATGGTAATGTGCACGGAGGTTTCACTACTTATTGAGTTTATCTCTATTTTCTATTTAGTGTAAATTTAGTAAATTCTATTTATCCTTAAGAAGTTTACACAAATTCGGTGGTAGGAATTTGCTAAATGTTGCCTGTATCAAATATGTTCACTAATTAGAAATCCGAAGGCACGATTAATTCTGACAGCACGGCATGGTTGCGTGTTTCCATGTCACTAACGGGATTAGTGTTGGTGTTATCAGGAAATCACGAAAACCGTTTCTTCGAAATATAATCTTTTCAAAGTCGTGTCGCTTAAATTATTCAATACTATTATTAAATGCTAAGCCTATTGATAATGAAGCTTTTTAAAACAATTTTTAAAGAGGCGAAATAAGTAATTATTTGTTACTAAAGCGCCTTTAGCCTTTAGGGTTGGTTCTGTTTTAAAGTATCAAAATTGCAGTGGAGAAAAACCTCAGCGACGAACAAAAGGTTGAGCAAAACACTGTGACAGCATAGATATTTATTTGATTGAAACTCTATAGCTCTGTACTCGACGTCGCGTTCAACATTGTTTTATTATAGAACAGATGGAGAATATACTTTGTTAAGTCAAAATAAAATTTAAGTAAACAAGAAGCCAAATTTCTAAACATGTCGGTCTGAAGCCAGTTAACACGCAAATGGCAAGACAACAGCCCGTGGAGGCAAACGTCCATTAAAATTTTCATTACTTTAAAGCGACATTACCGATAAAAAATTGTCGCTTGTGCAACTGACCGTAAGAGTAGCAGTGAAATATATCGCAAAATCTTGGGAACTATGGTGTCTAATGATTGGTGGGTTGGGGAAAATCTTGAAGACTCTACCTGTGATAAAAATAGTTTGGTTGGTACTATATCTACAATTCTTTTCAGAATCATCCTAACAATATAAATGATATTGAAAAAAGAAAATAGTTAATAATACGACAGCGACCTATATTGATTACTAGCCATCGCCAGCGGCTTCGCCCCCGTGGACCCTAGGGAAATGTTTAATGGGATTAAAAGTATCCTATTATCTAAGTCAGCTAATACCCTATCTGTATAGCAAATTTCATCAAAATCCTTTCAGTAGTTTCAGCGTGATTGACTTACAATCATCCAAACAAAGAATCTTTCACATTTATAATATTAATAGGATAGAATTGTCAGTCTCGGCATGGAGACGGTCTCCATTTTTGGAATACTTTTTTATCTAGACAAATAAAGGTAAATAATCTACCATTCAAAATTATTTGACAAATAAGTGAAGTTATTTCTGTTCAAGATTTTAAGTATAATTTTCTACATATGTAGTTACAACCTTATTATGGTTCGAAATGTTTCCATAAATGATTTCGCAGAGATCAGTATTTAAGGCTTGGTTAAACTGGATTTGCTTTTTATTGAATATGTTTTATTCTAATGCTAATATTTGAGTAAATTAGTTAGAATTGAACAACGCACTAATATTCTTTTATATAATCAAACCTAGTACTTTATGTTTACAGAAACATTCATTAATTAATTTGATTTAAATCATAAAACTAATATAATAATAAAATATTTTTAAAAATAGTTAACAAATATGTTTTTTTTTTGTATGTATGTACAATTTATTAGCCGATTCGGAATTCCTGCCAGCTTATTTACTCTCGAACGCAATCTCACTGTCAATTTAAATCCAATTTAATGACGGTTTCAATTACCATGAAATCTTCTATCTTATTATTGTACTCTTGAAACTTAGACTCAATGCCAATTAGTTCATTTAATAACCACGCAATTTTGAGCTATAATTGCAATGTCGATCAATCACGATTTCATTCAAGAGTAAGCAACAGGAAACCGAGAATGGAAAACGAATATGCGGCGCCACCAAAGTTAACACTACGCGTTGCCCCTCCACGAAGCATCCCCAGATATTGGATTGTACACTGCTAATCATTGAAACTTTTCTTATAGGTACCAAATTTTTTCTAAGACAAACTATTAACATAATCTACCATATAATCTATCTGCTGCTCCGGAATGAGCACCTCAGTAAAATCTGCCCTTAAATGAATATAACTGAGAAATATCTCGTTCGCAGACACAGTGGAGTCGGCCCGATCCGCTTCGTATAGTAACGATTCATTTAAGGGATATATAAGCACTGCTCACTTCACAAACTTACATTATTTACTCCAGATATTCGTAGCGATCGATTGTATTGGTTGCTTTTATTCGTTAAAAAAAAAGTAATGTGATATTTTTGTGATCTCGTTAATAAGTTGTTTAAAATGGCTGCCATACAAATATTCGCGGTGAGTGCAATTGAAATATTTTTGTGATCAAGAAATATCTCCGACTTCGTCTGCTAATTCAACAACGCATTATCTCCACTTACCTATTTTTTCCTAAGATTTTATCTGGTTTAATTTTTAACCTTTTTTATTACTATTTTTTTGTGAAAGTGAACGAAAAGTATTAGGTTGATTTTGTCAGCCTTCTCTTTGTATATTTTATAAATTCTATTCACTGGCATGTAGGTTCTAGTTTTGTCTTAATAAAGGCGGATCCACCCTCATGGTCACAGAGCTTGCCCGCAGCCCTAATAGAGTTGTGACGTCACATTTTCATGGTCCATAGATCGATTGCTCTCGTGACTTGCCTATTGACGACATTTTATAGATTTGTCTTCAGTGCTGAGGCTTAGGCCTAACTTGAATGAAAACAGAGAGAATGGGTCAAGATCCACCACGAGGCCACCACCATAGCAACAGCATAACAACCATGCATAAATTTTGGTCACCCATCCTATGATCGTCCTTTGTGAAGGTTGCTTAACTTCTACACCGCAAAGAAAACGCGTTGACTAATGCGCCATCGGGCGTCTCATGAAACTGTCTTGATACAATACAATCTAGGTCACTGCGTCATATATTTCGTTAAACATTTCCTTTGCAGGAGTTTATTCTTGTTATGAGCGAGTTCTTTAATTTTCTACCAATGACAATTCCTTACGTATTTTCTGTTAATGCTCACCGGTTGACTGGTAGAAAATGCCTCCGGAATTAAGTCCGCCATTTGATTAGACTTGGCATAAATAAATAAATACTCAAAGTCACAATTGTTACACTTGCACACTTGTCACAATTGTCACAAAGAAATTTCATCTATTTTCGAAACACTAATGTGAGCCCAAATAAAGGTAGGCAAAAGGTAAGACCTGACACTGCCTCGGTAATGCATATGATTTCTTCCAAATTATAAGAACAATTCGATATTTTTCGAAGTATCGTCCAATCGTTTGGTTAAAGAGGATAGATAATGATCTGAAAGAATTTCCTTTAGCTCCAACATCATTTTACAGTTCACGCGTATCTCGATTCATCGCAGCGGAACAACAAACTTACATTATATGATTTGATATATAGTTTACTGCGTGGTAACTGGGCATAAGTCTTTATTAGTGTTATATGATAAGTTACGCTACATACATAACACTTTATTAGACATAAAAAAATATAAATTTGTTCAGTGGATCGTACTATTATTAATGGTAGAGTATGTTGAACACTAAATACCAATTTTTGATTATTTATAGTTCACTTTAATGATGTTTTAGAATTACCTAACCTCCTTTTATCTTTAAGCCTTTTTGTCAAAGGCTAAAAGGTTCAAAATAAATAAATTGATAAGAATCGAATCAAGAAAAAGAGTTTAGACGCTTTTAATAATATTAAAGACTAAAGTTGAGTCCGTGATTAAAAAAAGACTGATTGGAGCTCGATGGCGTAGTGGGCATTCTATCTGTTGTTGACACCTACCAACCAATTCCATCCATTGGGAAGGCCTATACCTCACAGTGCAACATTAATAGATTAGTGATGATGAATATATGCTATGTAAAACAACAATATAATTACATTTATTTTTGCACTTCACTGCCAAAACCAGCATCCTGATTTTTATTAGAAGTACCATTTTACAGTTTTGGCATAACGCTACGAAGTAATGTAAATTTCTGTACACAATTAAACTCTTATAATGCCTTACAGTGCAAGCAATAAACAAGTATTTGCAAGTATTTTCAAATTCATATTATACAGGGAAGAGGCAAGCACCTTCTAGGAGTAAATATTAATAACATTGTTGGAGTTTAATACTCTAAGTATAATGCGTACGATCGGTACATGCGTGCGGACACAACAGACGTTCACCTTTATTGTCGGTCGCGGAATTTCAGGACTGACAGATATGAAACGACATCCAACCTTGCACACTCGACGGACGATCCGTCGCAAACTGACGAATACTTTCCTAAGACGCATGACGAATCTTCCGTCAGGTTTGCACCGACTCTCAGAATTCTTTGGGCTATATCAATCACTTTGGTTCATCTACGAATCTACACGACTTATAGTTTATTTTGCAGAGTCACTAAAAATGCCAGTTAAACTTTTCAAGGTTTCACATTTGTTCTTGAACGACCCTTCTATATCTATATTAGATCTAAACCATAAAATTAAAGTAACAGTCGGCCCATGAACTAAAGTCGTAACCGCTCGGACACGTAGGGTGAGTGTAAGCTGGTGAAAATAAGGTGAAAATAGTTTCATTTACTGACTTCAAAATCGAAAAGGAGGGGCTTATACATATACTTGTACTTATGTTCGACGGCAACGTATATTTTTTACGTGTGTTCACCGATATTTTTGTTAAATGTTAACCGATTTTCGAAATTCTTTTTTTTATATTTTACTGATTTGATTTCTTATATTTTAAAGAGTATTTATTATTCATTAAATAAAACAATTGTGAACGGGTGTGGCGTGGTTAAATTTGATTTCATGACATTTTGGAACCTTTCAGATTCCTATACATATTGTAAAGTGTTTTATATGTTCAAAAAGTGCGTGTGCAAGTAGACGATGTCCATATCATTTGTTTACTAGCTGTGCCCGCGAAAGAAAGTAGCCTATATTACCCCTTATTGCATCAACTATAGTGAAAATAGGTCCAGCTGTTTCAGAGATTATCCAGAACAAACAAACAGACAGACAAGAAATATGTCCCGTGTATACACACATGTGTTTAGTGAAAAGCGGTTATTTTAATATTACAAACAGACACTCCAACTTTATTTATTTGTATGTATAAGTTATATCAAATACTAATGAAATATTGGTTATAATAATTTCCACCACCGACTAATTTTCAAAAATCTTTTTTTATTAACACATTAAAAAAAATATTCAACAGAAACAAACAAACCTATCTTTTCCAGTTTAAAAACATTGAAGAAAATAATTACTTGTACTAAGCTTAATGTGTATCTTGTATTAAATGATTCGTTTTGATATCAATTGTCAAATAATTTTAGATCACTTAAGTATTTTACATTTGTATATATGTGGTAATACGTGTTAGGATTAACACCCGGTTTCTGAATTGAGAATGATCAGTTGAGATTATGTACTTTTTTAATTCAGAATGCAGCTGTTATAAAATTGTATAAGAACACATGCTCGTGGTTATAAAGGCGTGTGAACAGAAGCTTATAAAACACCTTGTGGTTAGTATTCACCTTGACCCAGGCATGGCGGTCGAACTGGACATTGATAGATACTACTGCAATATAACACTTGCCTTAGATAGTAGCTTGATTTTGGTTAAAGTTATACTTTATGCCTACCATATTTCTTTTACTTTATTTATTAGACAGATGGGAATGTAAAATTTGTTACTTACAATTCTGAAAACAAACACTTGAAAAGGCGAAGCGAAGAAGAGGATTATGATTTTTGCCGGTAAACTACTTATCGTAACTGGACAAATGAGGTATATGTGTCGCTAGATTGGTAACTGCGCTCTCTAGAGAGACATAAAGTAAGAATCTAAAAAATATATCATTCAATCATTCCACGTAAGGTGTCAAATGAAAGGTATTAATTAGCACATTTTAGCAAAGGGCAAATATATATATGTATTGATAGTTTTTGCGTAAATTCATCCGATAATTAATTAAATAAAAAATAAGTTCAACCACTAAAACCCGACTCCCGAAATAAAAAAAATTGTAACAAAATATTAAAATATAGCTTTCGCTATAAAATTTCTTGTTTCAAACTTTTTAGAGCGTGATTTGCTGTAATCAGGTATTCGTTTTTGATTTTTTGTTTTCAAGTTTTGCTTTCAGTTCCAATTACCGTCGATAATTATATTACTAAAAGAATAGAAGCACTCTTTAGATGTTATTTTAAAGATTTATCCATCCCAAAATCTAGCCTTTATTTAATTTATTATCAAATGCTGCATAAAATGATACAAATTCAATCGCAAGAAACCACTGAGGTTTGTTTACAATGTTACATATTATATCATAACTTACATGCATATAATAATTACATGCATTGTTTTTATGACTTTCCGAATTACGATATAATTGAAAGAAAACAGGAAAAAAGAACGTAATAAAAAGAGAATCAAGCAGGTCTATTATACATAAAATCGAAGTATACAAAAAAAAATTATGTGAATAACTAATTTTTCTTTCTAAGTAATTTTACTTTGGGCAATTGTAGACATTTAAAATCCCTATAATTTGATTCATTAACCAATGAAAACAATTTTGCAACTTCATTTATATATTACGTCATTTTCAAAATTGTAGTTAAAAAAATTTTTCCTAATGTTATTGAATATAAGTAACATAATTATTTAATAGTTTTATGCGAATGGACTAGATGTTCTTGATACATTATGTATTAGAGACAAGTTCCACGGTTTTGTAAGGAACGTGCCTCGGGCATAGCTGATCTAAGGAGTTATTTATAGTTGCATAATTCTCGGCCGTTTTCCATAGTTCGCAGGCCGTGCTGTAATATCTATCTAGTCTGACACCCACTTCTCTTATTTCTTGACGTCGTACTACTTTTTTAAAATTCGTAATAGCAACTAAAAATTGTATATTACTACTTCACCACATCTTTAAGCCAGACTCTTAAGTCCTATTCTGAAATTCTGAAATTAAAAGTGCAGGCTATTTAAAGTTCATAGAATGCGTTTCATCTTTAAGTCCATATAGTCTTGGAAATCTAGTTACTAATATCACATCTACTTCTATTCTGTTATAGTTTGTAACTTTTCTATATCAAACAGATCTGAAATCTAAGAGAGTGAGAGTGTCTGCGTCAACATTTTAAAATTGTGGGTAGTAGTCTCAAAATAGATCCCAATAATAGGACGATGTTCGTTCTGATATGAGGCATTATTATATCCGAAACAAAATCTTAAATACTCTAAAGCTACAATGAAGGTTACAATGTTTGTTGTAGCAGGGCCTCTGGTATTTTTCACGTGATTAATTTGTTTTATACAATCACTTGATTTATTTCCAGTTGCTGCTGGTTGTAAGCAGTTTAACGTCGACAAAAGAAATAGAAACAAAAGGAAAGATCTCAGAATTATTAGAATCCAACGGCATTAAAGATGAAGTCAGATCTGAGAAGGGCAAGCGACAGATCTTCGGTACGAGTATAGCAGGGTCTACGTCATTCGGATCATCTATAGGTATGGGCATTGAAGCTATTAAGATTTTAACTCTTTACATAACAAAACATGCTGTCTTGTTTGAATATATGTACATTCAAGTGTATTTGTTGTTATTATTTTAATTCTTGCACAGAAATTACAAGACGTGTTTATTTACTAGTCATACTTTCGAAGATTCATACAAGAACGAGGATATGTTAACTTAATTTTATTTTAAAATGATATATCATCAATCTGTTTCTTTCAAGGTTTGGCACCAGGACCTGGAATAGCGTCTATAGGGCCTGGAATATCTTCAATCGGACCAGGGTTACCATCCTTCGGTCCTGCAATTAGCCCAGCAGCGTCTCTGCCTGTGGCGGTAGCTCCAGCCCCGGTTGCCGCCCCTGCACTTCCCATTTCCGCCCCTACTATTCCCGTCGCCTCACCGGCCATCCCCGTAGCTCCAGCGGTACAAACTTCAGTAGCCGTTGAACCTAATCCCGTAATCTTACGGCAAGAAGTGCCGAGGTACATTACCCGCACGATCACTCGCGACGTGCAAGTACCAGTTCAAGTACCTGTACCATATCCTGTTGAACGGCAAGTACCTGTCGAAGTAAGAGTACCTGTACCGGTGGACAGGCCGGTTCATGTCGTTCACAAAGTACCAGTCGAAGTGACTAGACAAGTGCCCGTGTACTACGAGAAGAAAGTGCCATATCCTGTGAGAGTATCCGTTCCGGTGCCTTACCCGGTTGAAAGGCGAGTACCGGTTGATAGGCCAGTTTATGTTGACCGTCCAGTACCCGTGCCGCAGCCGGTTTACGTAGACCGTCCAGTGAATGTACCTGTTCCGGTACAAGTTGATAGACCAGTGCCAGTGCCACAGCCGGTTGTTGTTGATAGGCCCGTGCCAGTACCGCAGCCAGTAGTTGTGGAAAGAAGAGTCCCAATAGCTGTAGCACCAGTCAGTGCCGTGCCTGCTATACCCGCCGTGCCTGCTGTACCTGCAATACCTGCTATATCCGGAATACCAGGTTCTTTAGCCGCAACAATTGCAAACTCTATTCCTATATCTTCTGGCACTTCTGGAATTTCAAACGGATTCTCAAATTCTATTCTATCTAACTCTATATCTGGTTTCTCTAGTTCTCTAAAGTAACAAGTGTCTTATAATCACAAAGTTGAACAAATAAAACAAACAATATAAACGCACGTATGAAATGTTTTAGTTCATTTATTTTTCTACTATTTTGCATCAACACTATGTTTTTATGTCACCATTAAAAAAATACACACAAAGGATTCATTTTACTTTTCAACTTTTTTCATTATAAAACCTTTCTATTATGACTTCACTTTTCTACTTTTCCATATAAAAATAAGGTGTCAAGTAAGCTGTAATTTACTTAAGTAAATTTTAATTATATTTACATTTACTTTGCCAATTATTAAGATCGTTTTTTTCACAAATTAGTAAGCTGTCTTATGAAGTCATTTTTAATCGGATTTCTCTGTATGAAATGCAATTGCGAAATGCAGCTCTTGCCAAGTTTTCTCCGATTAAAAGTCTCCTGTCGTCTTCATCAAAGTCATTTACGAGAGATGAAATAAATGATATTTTATTTGATATGTAGCCTCTGGTCACAAACATAAAATTATTTGGTTAATATTCAAAATATAATGCATTTAGTAATCGGATTCATCTTAGACCCGGGGGGACAGTGCCACGCCCGTGCAAATTCCTCATTGTTCTGTAGTGAGCCCTTCGGTCTAAACTGATGTGGGGAATGCTCATCATCTATTTCATATTCCAAAGCGTCTATAGTTGGAACTTCGCACCACAACTAGAAAAAAGAAAACAGAAAAGAATCATGCCTACCGAGCCAAAGAAATGGATATTCTAGCTCTTAATGTATGTATGTATACATTTTAAACATGTGGGCTAAATCTTTTGATAACTGTATGTCGTACATATATCTGTTTGTCTACGTATCTCTTGCAAATTAATAAATAGTAATAATACGTGTAATAATATCATCGTTTTTAATTTTGTATGTGAATGTGGTGTTCACCTAATTAATTGTACAATCAGCGTTGTTTATGGAAATAATGTTCTATGTAAATTGACATTGTAACAATAGTTGGTGAATAAATAAATATTAAATATTTTGATGGTATCGGCAACAGGATTGTATTACATAAGCTTCAAATTATTGGTTTAGGTAAACCCAAGTCAAACAGTAACTTTTTTTAGCTGTACCTCTAAGGATAACCTGGACATAGGAGTACCACAAGGATCGCTTTTAGAGCCGTTATATATTAAAATCTATGATATGAAATCTGTTTTTATTTCATAGTGTAATTCTATTATACGTTGATGACACGAAAAGCTATGAAACTCACATTAGCGTAAGATATGAAGAACATTTGTTCAGAGGTCATATCCTCGAACCCTGGCAGCTTCGGTTCGGGCCCATGTTTACGGAGGTGGTGTTGGAGAGCGGCAAACGCCTCTTTGACTCCACCATTATCCGCTATATTCTCGCCGAGGGTTTTCTTCCCATCAACCTATGGAGGACATTTTTTAGAAAAAGTTAATAAAGTTAGTGAGTGAAAATAAATTGTAAAATCAATAAATATTATACTATTTCTGAATGATTCTGAAAGTAACTGAGGCGAAACAATTAGCACTACAGATCGTTTATTAAATGGGATCTGAATAATATACCTCGAACAGGTGTTAGACCTTGCTCACACGTAGTTTGAAAATAAAAGTGCAATAAAAAAATATTAGACAACATTACATCGAGGAGCTTTAGTTTAAGCGCTTGTGTCAATGTAACAGTTAGACCCGAGAGAATACAGAAAAGTCCAGTTTCTGTATGGACCTAATTAGGAATCGAACCCAAGACCTCACAGATGGTGAAAGTTTGAAACCAGCGAGCGAGTCACACCGTTGTTGATATAAAAGAAAAAACTAATTGATAGAAACACTAAGGTGTAGCTTTTTCTTTATGCTACCTTATCATACTTCTATGACTGATAAGAATAGATGTTAAAGTATAAAATTGCCGTTTTATTGTAATAGGTTCCTTGAATTGACATAGAATCTTCATGGTTTGAGGTTTTCGAAAGAAACTTTTTTCACGTGGTTCCTATGATGTTCTTCTTTTAAAAAATGTGAAACATTTGAATATCAACTTTCAATTGTTATTGTTATACAACTTAGACAAGAAAGATGGATTCTGCGGAAATTCGAGTGATTTTTGAATACGAGTTCCAAAAATAACATTATCATCTTTATTATGAACACACACTTATCATACAATCATGTAAAAAAATATATATACGCAAATATTAGGTCCTTACATTTGTTTGGTATGGGAGAAACATAATATTTAACATAATATTTTTCCTTGCAAAAAGTTATCAAAATTTCGAAAAAAATGGTAATCTGTTGTTCGAAAAAATGGTAATCTGTTGGAGCAAGGTCCGGGGAGTACGGTGGATGTCTTAGACATTCCAATTGAAGCTCTTCTAATTTGGTAGCCGTCTGTTGTGCAGTGTGTGGTCTAGCGTTGTCGTGGAGTAGCAGTGGCGTAGAGCGATTGACCAGCCTCGGTTGTTGAACAGCTAGTTTTTCCAGCATGGTTTGCAATTGCTGACAATCACACGTCAACAGAAGAAAAAAAAAATGAATGCCGCCTAACGAAACACAAATACATGTGTAAACAAATGGCTGTATAAATTTGAATTTGGAATTCCCAACCAAGGAGGAGAAATTTGATATTAAAGTGGCCAGTACGACAAAACGCCAATTTCAGTGTAAGGACCAATGTAAGGACCGTAATAAATTAACGCATTAATTATCATGCATTTTTTTCTTAGTATTTAGTCTGTAGCTTGTTAATGTAATATAATCGTTTTGAACAACTCTGTGTATGAACCGTTCTGGACGGCCACGTTGCAGACAGCGGGAAAAGAGCGTCGCGCGCCAATCGAGCGGTGAATGTGCGACTGAGTGATTATAGTGATGTCGACTACAGTTTTAACCAATTAAAACGTTTAAGCGTTTATTTCGTTACGTTTACGTTTATTATTCGACATTTAAATCAGTATAAATAATAAACAAGTAATTAAATATAAATAATTTATATTCAATCTGACCGCTGGCGTCGAGAATCGGCAAATTTTCCCGCGTCGCAGCCCTAGTCTGGTCGCCACCGCCAACGCGCCAACGTGGGCGTCCAGAACGACGCCTTAAGGAAGGCCTGTTTCACAGTAAAAGTGAGATTCATAGTCCGATCATAATTTATTATTTGCTTTATTGGCTACTCACATATTTCCTTAGTTCTCGAACATAGAAGCTAGAGTATTGATCGATGAAACACTCGGTCATGTTCACGAATGACTGCACGGTCTCGTTGGTCCACCAAGGTCGGTAGTTACCATTTTTGTCAAACTGTCGACCTAAACAAAAATGTAGACATTAAAATGAATTGTAAGATTTGAAAATATGGAAAGCATATAAAAAAGCTAAAGTTTTACTTACATATCAAGCGTATAAAAAGCGTATCTACCCATAATTTTGTAAGTAGCCAAATTATCAAAATCAAACTCTTTTAAGAAATCAAAGGGTAAAAAAGACTTTGTTTTAATTTATTGAAATTTAAATTAATTACCATAATTATCGAAGCCGTGTGTTATTTCATGTCCCAGCACCGTGCCCAGTGAACCATAGTTTAAGGAGCTGTAATAAAATCAACAATCAATATTATTGTAACGCGGGTATCCACTCATTAAGCTGATACAAATATATACTAAGTAAATTAAAATAATTATGATAAAACGGGGTAATAAGTTATTTTAATAAAGTCGTGAATGTGTGTTATTGAAAAGAATTAAATCAAAATCTATATAATATTCAAATATGTCTATTGAGTTGAGATCTAAGCATAACATTTTGCACCCATGTTTATCAAGCAGGAGTACTAGTAGTAAAAAAAAATCTAGTGAAAATACTTACTCTAATCCCAAATCAAAGAATGGATACTGTAACATTACCATTGGAATGGCTGCGTCCAAAATATTACCAAGTGTATTTTATTTACAAAGAAAAGCGCACACTATAGAAAACAATATTTAAACGATCTCTAAATGTATAATGAGAAGACTTTCTTACTTATGGTGTTCTCTTGAAATGTGTGATATGCATTTACTTCTGTTGGGTCTGTAGCCCAAGTAAAATTATTACCAGCACGTAATTTGTTAAAGGCTTTCCTCAATTTAAATTGTATTATACTGATCATATTGTCAATGTGAGTGTCACGATTCACTTGTATTCCTTTGTAATATTCTTCTAGTCTTCCATTTTCCATGAACCAATCGGGGAAACCTATCAGAGTTTTCATCTCTATAATCTTCTGGTATGTTGCCAATTTAGTGTTGTCATCCATCCATTTGGCTTTACCAACCAGGTGAGCAAGTGCATTTTTCATTTCATACAGCATTGTTTCAACCTAAAAAATGTGAAATCACATTTTAGACAAATAAGTGAATCACAAAAAAATATATTACATAGAAGTTTACATTATAAAGATAACAAAAGTTCCAACTGGCAATGACATCTGCATTGCTTAATAAAATAATATTAACTTAAAGATGTGAGAACTATTTTAACCTTTGGTTTGGTTACGTTGAAGAAGTTAGGGTCGGCGATGGCATATGACACGGCCATGCCCATCATCTCATTGACGGCGCTTGCACACTGCAGGCTGCGCGGTTGTGGCACACTCGGACCGTTTGAATTGATCTCGTCATGTGATCGTTGGATTAACTGACGAATTTCTGTTGTTGTATGAGCTGCAAGTACTTCTACAACCTAATCAAAACATTAATTATAAAAATAACAAATGTGCTTTTATACCGGGTTATCCCAATTTTGTTTATCGAGTTCCATAATTTAAATCTTTGAACAAAAATGTATTAATTGTATTTTCGTGACATATATATATATGTCAAATTTTTTTTAACAAGCGATAGGAGACCGCTCCGTTAGCGCGCTGTTTGAAATATCGTGTACATATTAGATGATTCACGTAGAGTTATTAAAATTAATTAAAATTTATTCTAAGTCTAATAGTAAATTGAACGAAATAAAAATTATCAAAAGTCACAAGAGAAACGTGATTATTTATGATTATCCAGCAAGGCAAGGTTATTGATAAGATTCACCTAACCCTGTATGATTGTTTTACATTTCAAATGTGTTTTATTTTATACATTTTTTATTAAATTATAAACTTACCTTAACCCAAATATAGAGTTCAATTAAAACTGGTGGTGTTTTAGATACCAGTGTAGCCATAGCAGCTAAATACTTCATATCTGCCTGACTGACCAGTATCTTATCATTCTCGAAGTCTAATGTTGTATCGGACATTTTGAAGATTCCATCTAAATACCTTCTCCAAATAGGTACAGCGGTACCGTTATTTTCGTTTACTATTTCATCTGTATGTGCTTGTATTTCATCAACTGTGTACTCGGGTATATTTAAATATGCCTCGTCATCGTCTGTTTCAGTACCATTATCTGATTCTAGCTGAAAACATGTGTCCCTGTGTAATTTGTATTACGATATTTGGATATATTAATAACAAGGAAGGTGATACTGGGCTGCGATCTTAGCTTTGCTATTCTGTAAAAAAAATTATGTCGGACGCAGCGTAGGCATGGCGCTGTAACTAAAAAGGATACTGCTATTAATGTCTAACAAAATTGATGATCTTAGCTTAGCTATACTGTAAAAAATTAACCTGTTTGAACTATTAAGCTGTTGCTACTGACGTTGCGTTTGAGCTGATTTTTTAAAGAATGACAAAGCAAACATAAGTTCACGCCTCGGGCTTATATACATATATGATTGAAATAATAATAACTACCCTATCTTTTAAGTAAGACCAAATTACAGAAATGTGAAATTTGATTAAAACAGGTTCTGTATTTTCTGATTTATCAACGACATGCATGTTAGATGAGATTTTTATAAATTTTATTATATGTAAACCTAAGCATAAAATATATATCATATACATAATATTCTTTATATCAGTAACGCGAAAACTCCAATAAAACATATCGAAACTAGAAGTGTTAAAATTATATGCTGAAAACATCGTTATTACATCTGAATTAATAAAAAGGTACATCGGACTTTTTGGAAGTCATTAAACCTTTATAATAACAGGCGTATCAAGAAAATACCAACCTATTTGTAACAATCAATAAAATACGTAGGCGGTTAATAAGATTTTAAATAATCTTGTAATTACCAATAGGTTCTTTCTCTATAATAAAAGTACATTGACCGAACAATACTTTGAATAGTTATAATTATTTCTTTTGTTTCATAAACTATTCAGATCAATTTTCTTTAAAAGTGATGACGCATAATTATAATAAGTTACTTTGAGGGTTTTAACATCAGACAAATTGTATGTATACATGAATATTGACTAGAAATAACGCAGGAAACAATTTAATTTACTGTGTTTTTTTTTATTATGAATCTAATTAATACATTTAAGAATAATTATATCATCTATCGTATTAAATGATAACTACATGGTCACCAAAAACATCCCATAAGAAAAATGAAGACCGAAGAAGAAGCTTGAGGAGGGTAATATTGGACAAATAAATGCTAGGTAAGAAAAACAAAAACAGACAATATTACATGCATTGCTCAGATCTCCAGCTAAGTAGCTAAAGATTTATGGAAAATTGAAACAACGAAGTTATCATCTAGACCCTACAGGGATAGCAGTCTGTGTATGTCGTTTACAAATACTGTCAGCGTCTTGGTCTAGACTATTCCAATATGACAGAATATTTTGTTTGGTGTAAAGGATGCTCTATATTTTGCTCTCAGTGAAAAATCTCACTTACCTCATCTAGATTATTGTCCAGACTATAATACTCTTTTGATGTAGTTAAGATCTTTTGATCTAATTTTGGCTCGTCGATATTTGAACTGGTGAAATTACCAGTTTCTATGACGAATATCTTCATAAGTTCTGCGTAAAATAATTTGTAAGCAAGTGATGTTCTCTCATCATCATTGTCCACATCCTGTTTTTTTGCAAAATTGTGTGTATGTGTTACTATTAATGTTTCATCAACATCATTATAGGTTGATATTTTAAAGTTCCTGGTTTTCCGATTGTCACGTTTCCTTTCATATATATGCATACTGGAAAATATAGAAGGCTAATTATAAAAATACATGACCTCTTCTCCAAATAGTGTAATATTTCAGGATTGAGCTTTCTCGAAACTGCTGTATTGAGTTTTGAAACGAAAAAAGAATTAGTTAGGTACTATTAAATTTAACATCAGCATTACTGCGTACGGTTTTAGCAGAAAAAGAAATTAGCAGGAAAAGTAACTTTAGAGTTTAATAGAATGTAATATTGTATTCATTTATCAGTAGAAGTAAGGTGCTTTGGGGTAATAACCAAAACGGGGACATTCTGAAAATGACGAATTTTCACCATATCAACATGTTTTATCAACTGTTGATAAAAATTGAGAAATATCCAAACTTTTAATTTTTTATTAAATATAACTTTTAATAAAAAAAAAAAACGTTAAATTGGATAGAACAAACATATTGTTTTTTTAATGCCATTTTCGGAATTTTCCCACTTTCAAGTTTACCCCAAAGCACTTTAATGAAAATATTAGATTTTGAAATGTTTGATGTTACCTTGGAAATGGATTTGTAGTTTCAGGCGATCCTATGACTAATCTATAGACGGAAGAGTTTTTTGGAGCCGTAAATATATCGAAACCAATCAACACGTCCATTCCGAGATAAGTCTTCAATTTTATAACCGTTTCAATCCAGTCAAAACTATAACTGTCGTAGTCGAAATCTTCTGTTATGTTTATGTAAGTAGGGTAAGGTGGTAGATTTAAGTCCTTTAAAATTTTAAAGACTGGTTTCAATCCTAATTTATCTAATGTTTCTGAAAATATAATGAAATTTATACATATATTGCTCTGTTGTGCAATATAACTTCTTATTAAAAACTGAGATGACAATCTCATAAAAAAGACATTTGAGGGTCACACAATTTAATGTCACGATGGTAAGATTTAAATAACTAACCAATGTCCATACATGCTTTGTATACATCTTTTGCTTGCTGTACTGGTTTAGACCGGCTATAAGAGTATTTACTTAGAAACTCGCGAAGTGTTGTATATACTCTGATCTGTTTCTCTCGGAACCAATCGTAGGAATGCTCTGCGTCAGGTCGGGGATGATTTTCTGGCCAGTTTCCACAAACATACTGAGAAATATAACAAGGACAATAGAATGCGAGGGAAAATATGAAACACTCAATAAAACTATTGAAATAAAAACTCTTACAAGATAAACATCTGTGTCTGTATTTTATTGTCTTATTATTTGATTAACGATATTTTGAGACTAACAATATGAAACTGAATTAATTTAATATTATCTACAGTCACGAGTTTCCTTTAAAAAATCCCTTTGATAGAATTTTAGGAATTTCTTGAGAGCACAGTTCAAATTAATTCTTTAAAAATATATATATCTGATCAAAAAAATATAATTCTCTTAGTTCTAATTCCAATACCCGACATAACACAAAAATAGTTTTGATTAAAATTCAATTTTCTGTTTAGATCTACGTTATCTTTTTATTGCAAAAGTGGCATCAGGTCTTAATTAAAGAATTACCTTATAAAAATCATCACAGGGATGTACTGTTCTGTCGATGGAAAGAGCAAGATTGGCAGCGGAGCGCAGGCATTCCTTACTGTCGCATATCCTTATTGGTTTGTGCCGTCTTTGTTTCACATCTGACACATTATCATAAACAACTAATGGGTACTACATTTTCAAAACCGCATTTATTAAAATAAGCATTAACACAATTGTCACTACCAGCACCATTTAAATTAGACTTTATTCCAACATTCATTTACTTTTAGTTACTCATTCATCGTTACATTGAAAATTATTCCTGTTTAAACTGAATGGAATATAATACTTTTCATATTATTTTTTTATTATCTTATTCTTAAAATCTAAATGGAAAGTTAATTGCCGTTGTTTGATTTAACTTTCTTTGGATTTGAGTATAAAGATAAAATGATAATTTCACTACTCATACACTCTCTCACATACTCACTCATGTCCACTTTATACACACCGAGAGGCACTCAAACTAATGTTGATTGTCACTTTTATTATTACTATTTGATAACTGCTTATTAATTGATAATTTATAATTATTGAAAATAAAATGGATCAATTATTAATTTAAATATTTATTACATCAAATGTTGTAAACTTATACTAAGACCGTATAATGAGGGAGTGAGCGCTGGAGCCTGAGATTCAGGTTTAGAATATAAACCCCATTCAGGCACAGAAGCTACTCAATTGTAATATTCAGTTTAAAAACATATGTAATTTTTTATTAAATAAAAATTATTATTATTGTAAATGGACGTGACTACATTTTTGAAGTTATTTTCCAGTATGACGATTCTAAAAGTAACAAAATAGAGAGCCCTTTAGATTTACCATCCGACGGTATAGTTTTCAAGACAAATGCTTATAACAGATTCGACTGGATAAACGATATTAATTTAATGTAATTTTTACCACTTTACCTCTATGATACATCATAGCAACAAGCTACTCTTTAGTTTGGCAATGACTATTTAGAGAAAAATTTGGGATTACGACACTAGCAGAATGTTTAGTTATTTTTCTTGCTATGTTTGCTATTAAGGAATAACTAATGAATATTCTCGTTCGCCTTAAATTTTTTACTGCAATCATTACCATAAATCTTGTCACTATCTAAATCTAATCTAGAATTTAAGCGGAGTGGACCAGTAGGTCATTGCTTGCAACTAGAAACTGAGATTATAATATGAGTTCATTTAATTGCACAGTATATTTAGATGATATTTGATTGAGCATTCACTACGAAAATGAAACGTAGCAATTGAATTGTATTTTGGATTTAATTTCTAATTTAATAATGCTACGAAACCTAATCATCAAATATTTGATTAGCGAGTTTTATTTTCTCAGTTAGTCTTCTGAATCGGGTTTGGATTTTGTGTCACCGTTTTTGCAGTGATTACTTCATGGGACAGTAACTGCTCCTATGATGTGGGGAAAAGCATTGACGACAAAATGTAATGAATAATTTATATCTTGAACGTTTGTGCTGAGTGTTTTAGTATTTATAGGGCTATGCTTTCTTAATCCAAACGTTTCTAACTCTATATGATTTTCAACTCCAATAAGAGCTGCGTCTATCGCACTGAACAAAACAAATGAAAAACGAAAATAACTTTATACTATGAAGTAATTATTTATAATAAGAATTTTATTTGTTTCAAGAGGCACATTGTGTCGCGAACGTGCGTGAGCTTTATTTTTTTTACATATTTATGTAGGTACTTACATAACACCGTCATAACCACAGCCAAACACAGAAGTAGAAGGAGTAGAATCAAAAGTGATATTACTAACATTTTGTTCTTGTGTCTTCTTCGGAACCTGAAATTTTTATTGTTTTAAAGTATCTACAGATTTATAAAAATAGAGTCTGAAGTAGTATAAGAATTAATATCTTCCGCTAGGCCTGGCACCTTTATCACTGAGTCTAGGTACTTATATATATATATTTATGGATTCTATGGTACTGGCTAGATCTACACTGTTTTTCTATAAGTCGTTAAAAAACGGGAACTAGTCCCGAGTCATCTTATTTTGAACCGTATGAAATACTTGAAATATTCACGAAGAGTCAAGAAATAACAAAAAATAATCATGTTAATTTATTAAAATTTGTCTGTTTTCTTCTTCATCTTGGAATAAAACTTATTGCCGTTTCTTAGTCTTATAATGCAACTGTTCATGTATAAAATAGTATGAATAGCTACCTAGCTGTTCTAGAGCCTACCGCTATCAAGTAACCCGATTCTCTCAGATCACTTCCATTTTTTAAAGGTGGTGTATTAGCATTGACGCTGCCAGCACCTGTAATGAAATTTTTTGTATTTCGTAATTTCTTCCAACAATTGTATAAAACAATTAATTGGTTTTGTTAATAATGTATCGTGAAAATATTTATCCCGAGTCTCACGTCGTAAAAGAGTTGATTTTTTTTTAATAATGTAGTGCGATTGTTCTAGGACAATGTAGGATTTTTTGCTGAAAAAGAAATCCCTAATTGTCATTACTAATGTGTATAAGCCGTTTATGCATGTATTTAGTTTAAAAATTAACACAAATAAAATGCTTATAAAATAATGTATTTATGGTTATGTGAATGATTTTTATGACGTATATATTTGTTATTTTCATTAAAAGATGGAGCTGTACATTTAGAATATCGCGGTGTTATGTTTTGTTTAAAAAGGTATATATCTAATGTCAGTTTCCTTGTAAGAGAGGATTTTTTGTTTTTGGAATACAAAACTATGGTCAGTTTATGACGCGGTTTTATTTAGCCTCAGTACCTCCTAGGACGCAAGAACATCGGCTTGTTCATAAAAATAAAAAAAAATATAATTTCCCTCTAAAGTTATATTTTTAAGAATAATTTATTTTTATATTTGCTCAATTTTCTAATTGTCATTACTAATGTTTTTGCAGAAAAAAGTTTCAAGCTTTTTAATATTTTATGGAATTAAAACGAGACAAGGAACATTACTAATATACATAACATACAAGTAGAATTTGTTATAAAATTTAAGTTTTAAAACTGATGTTCGTGTTATGGAAAATAGTAATATTTTGAAGTGTTTCTACTGTTGTTGTCAATTTTTGATCGTTATACTCATACTCTATGACGTGTGTAGACAGAAACCTTTGAACGACTATAATCCAATAGGAACGATATAAATTATTTGTGTACGTAGGTACGCACACTCGACGTCACGTTTGGTTATAAAAAACTTGGGTGTGTATTTTTAAAAACCTTTAAAATGTGGTTATAGAAACATTGCCATTTCCCTCTATACTTATATTTTTAACAATAATTTATTTTTATATTTACTCAATTTTCTACCGGAAAATATTCTTAATGTAAAATGCTTAAAAAATCAGCCTCAGGTACTACGAGATGGGAGTCCAACCCACGAACTTTCGCAATCCTGGTGACTGCTCTAATCACTGAGCTACCCAGGACCTAACAGTACCTACTTGATACTATTCGCTCCTAGTGAGCGTATTTTTATCAATGTTCAGGCAATCCACTCAAACAGCCGAAAGAAATATTTTTACAGATAAACTATCTATCAAGATAAAAAATTGACACTCTACATAAATAATTTTATTGACCTCTTTGGTTGATTGGTTTGTGCTTCGATTTCATCTAGCGACGGCCTGACCGGCTAACACAAACTAAATAATAATCACTAAAAAAGTATATTAAGATTTTCATATGGAAAAAGTTTTGCTATTGCTTTGAGATAAACTGTCAACTTCTTTGCTATTATATTAAAAATAATACGTCGTACAACATCACTGACACAGCTTAGAGGTTTGATCAAATAAAACCACTTTATCATCATATCAGCCGTTCGATGCACACAGCTTGGCATAAATAACCCTCCTCCATGGGTCTAAAAGATAATTTCATTAGTGAAACCATGGAAATTTTTAAGTGTTATTTTATATTTTAAAAAGCTAAAATTACTCTACAAAAGCTCTACTATAAATATCTATACAATATTCTATAAAGAGCAAAGTTTCCAACTTTGTCTGTTTGTAGGGGGTAACCTTCGGAAATACTGATCCGATCATGAAAATTCTTTAATCTACGGGAAGCTACATCATACGCGCGTGCTATAGTAGACTATAATTAACGCGGGTAAAGCCGCTGGACAACAGCTAGTATTTTATAATCTTACGAGTGACTGCAGGTCCCATAACATCACCACGTTCTCCAGACCAAGCGTGCATCGTAATCTGTGGTCACAATCTTTTCTTTATTCAAAACACAAAACTTTGTTCCATTTTCAAAATATACTTTTTAAAAAGTTTTCGAACTCAATTAAAAACTCTCTCCCATTTGGCGTATGTAGTGTTATAGATTTATTTTTATGGTAATAAACGTCATTCGAAAATTAGATTCTCGTAAAGATTTCTTTATACTTTTAGTACGATTTTCACTGCGATTCGTTTCATAGTCTAAGACTCACTGAAACATCGTTTGTTGTGGCGTACTGAAAGAATTCTATAATTTTAGTAGGGTGACCATAATGGAGATGATATGCTAGAATCTATTTTATATGATTAAGCACTTACCAAACACTTATATTAGGTAGTTATTGGAGTACATCATGCTTAAAACTTTTATATCATGACGACCTTCATAGCCGAGTGGCACGTTAGTTTCAATATGGCGCAATCTTTTGAGGGTTCATTTTCTGAACTTTTCTATGTCGGCTTATGTCTGGTTCTTGTGACACCTTCGTTATTTGTAATATGTGATGTATGAAATATTGTCTGATATCTATTTATTTTCTTCCGCTTACGTAAATATCTTGAAAGTTATTTAAGACGATACTTAATAGATTATAAAAATATTTATATATTGTGTTATCCGAAATAAATAGGCCTTAGTTACCTTAATTACCTTAGCCTCACTGTGATGTACAGTAGCCTGAAAGTACTTTGCAATATTGCATTGCATTCAAAAATCTGATAAGATAAGACATTAACAACTTGAAAAATTGGTCTTGCAATTTTACTAAATAATTTTGATTTTTAATTAAACTTTGAAAACGATGTATTAGAAAATGATTCCATGAAGTTTAATGCCTAATGGTCACCCCGTTTTAGAGTTGATTCACAAGATAGCGGCTAAAGCGGCGATGTACTATTTGTCACGCGATGGCTAGTGATGTGCTGCTGTTGTCAACATCGATTCAACAAGAATATCGTAAAATATCGAGTCAAAATATTTCCATTCATAGCGTGACTCAAAATAACACGTTTCCGTTGCGACCTACACCCTCACGCACACGTCCTAGTGATTGAGCTTTATTTTTTGTTATTCGTTTTTCAAGGTCAAAAATGGAGTACCTACTGTACATTTAATGTAATTATTAACAAAATAAATATTAACAAAATATCACTATAAATCACTACATACTATAAAACAAAGTCGCTTTCTCTGTCCCTATAGTCCTATATATGCATAAATCTTTAGAACTACGCAACGGATTTTGATGCGGTTTTTTTCATTGATAGGGTGATTCAAAAGGAAGTTTTTTATTTATAATATAAGACCACGCGGGCGAAGCCGCTGGCGGAAAGCTAGTTAGCAATAAATATACAAACAAAAACACAAAAGCAAAACCGGACAGTAAGAAATAATAGTTGAAATAAAAAATAAAAGGTGACAAAAGTCGTAAAATATAAAAACACTAAATAGGCCGGAAAAATATAACGTATAAAAGCTTATTTGCTAATATTCATGAAAAAATAATCTGTTTTTATTTTAAAGCTGTCCTGGAAGTTAATTATAACGATACGACCGTATTATAGGTATATTGGATAGCAACGGTTAGAGCTTTGGCTCTGCGATGCGGAAGTTAAGCAGCTTTTGCAAAGGCTGGTCATAGGGTGGGTGACCAAAATTATCTGAAGCTTATTTAAAAACGTTAAACCAGTTGTCCGCAATGGATTCGCGTGGTGAAGCTCTACGCACCATGTGGGGACGTTAATAGGCTGACGATACGCTACCATTACCATTATCATTGTTTTTATTGAGAAAATTGCAAACCGCCGTTTCTAATTTTCTAAGCCATTCTTTGAGCCGTGGCATCTTTCGGTCTCTGGAATTTCGGACCCGATAAACGTAGCAAAATGTACTACTACTATATGTTTTGTTTTGTCGAAACTGAGAGGTTGTGATATGGTTTTGGTGCTTTGGCTACCTGTGGATCCGTGAGTGTCGTAACATGTGGTGTGTTTTAATATTTATTATTACTAATAAAACAATAATATTATATTGTTTTAAATATAATATAAATAAATAAATTAAATACAATATTGTTAGTAGCATATCCTTTTTTTGGCGCATTATTGAAGGTAATAATGGCGAATGAGGCTTTAAAATAACACAACTAATTTTAAATACTGAACGTAAAATTTTATTTGTACCACAAAAACAACACGGAGATGATCTCAACGCTTAAATATAAGAAAATTGCTCCATACATAATTTAAATACGCATTGCAATAAATATTAACGTCATTGCTATATAAGTTTACCATCCGTGGCCCACAGAACCAACGTAGGGTTGCGCGTAGGTCTGTACAACCGGTTGTGAAACAACAGGTGCGGCATGTACAACGGGTTGTGCTACTGCAACAGGCGCGTGAACTATGGGCTGTGAGATAACAGGAGCAGCGTGGACAACGGGTTGTGCCACTGCCACTGGGTGTATGACCTGAAAAATTAAATGATGTTTGATTTCGTATTCTTGTGTTCTTGTATTCTTGTCTTGTATTCTTGTCTTGTATTCTTGTATTGTGTTATTAAATAAATCTTGCTTATATTATAAAGGCGAAAGTTTGTGAGTTATGATATTTGGATGTTTGTTACTTCTTCACGCTAAACCGAACGGATTTTGATGAAATTAAAGTACGGAAAATTTTAAGCTAGATTAATATATACGTTACTTTTTATTCCACTAAAAATGTCCCTAGGAGCCACGCGGACGAAGCCGCTGGAGGAAACCTAGACTATTATATTTTTAACTTTAAATACAACACTAAAATTATATTTGATTGCAACAGTCACACAATGATGTTAGGGATACTAATTATTGGTTTCCGCTACATAGAAAAACTATTAGGTTGTGTGTTTGATTTGCCCTGGATTCCTTGCCAATTACCGGGTACCGAAATACACGAGGTACAGAGGTACGGAGGGTTTGTAGGCCCACTGCACTGGACCGCCGCCGTCCCTTGCAGTGACAGCCCGGGTTTAGTCGGCAATTCGTCTGTGCCGACATGAAATGTCAAGGCTCAGTTCCCCTTCATCCATCAAACACAAACTATTAGTATTAACAAATATTATAAAGAAGAATATGTTTTGTAAATTGTGTCTTGTGTATGCAAAATTGATCAAATTTAATAAAAATATTATTGTCGTTTTTAGTTGCGCTGTTTAAAAAAGAAAACAGGCAGATAAGAATAGCATTATGAAGGAACAGATTGTACTATAGAAAAACATTGGCTAAAATTTGTGTTTATTTTATTATCATACTAACTCGTTGGAATGTAGAGTAGCTAGTGGCTGCTGCGGGAGCAGCGTGGACAACGGCCGGGGCAGCGTGGACAACAGCAGGGGCAGCGTGAACAACCGGGGCAGCGTGAACAACTGGGGCAGCTTGTACAACCGGTTGTGCAACCGTATACTGTTGTGCTGCAACCGGTTGTGATACGTAGCTGACAGGCGATACCTGGAAAATAATTATATTTACCGTTATGTGAGCTGGTTTTTTTTAAAATCAGGAATGAGTTGGTGTTAAAATATAATTTTAAATTGAAACAATCACAGTGTAATTGTGGATTGAGAGTGTAGATTTTTAGACCATTATATTTTCTACCCGTATCCTATATCATGATCATTATAAGAACCAAGCGAAATATACGTATTTGTTTTGTATAGTACTCATGAGACGACACCCACTAGACTAACGGTTCCTAAAGGACCTCTGGGTGTCCGTGGAGTCCTTAGAGCGCGAGTTGAATAACAACACACAACACACTTAACATACGTTGGTTCACGCTTACAGCATCAACACCCAGTTGTACAAATTGTTATAAGTTTAGCGTGACATTACCGATACAAATTTCTATTATAGAACATTTATTAGAGCTTAAAGTCGCCATTGAACCTTATGGACTTTTGTGCAAAGTTATTGATGATTGTCTTGGTATGGAACTATGTGATAGAAATATCGCGTATAATATAGAGAGCAGTGCATAATTTATTTGGCAGTCGAGGGCCTACAAATACCCAAATTTCTTCAGCGATGTTAAGCCTTAATCGGTAGTTAAGTTTAGAATTGGTCGCAAATAAAATTAGTTTTTTGAAGTAATCAGACGTCTTGTTCTTTATACATTTACTTACTGCGGGTGCTCCCCAGATGCCTCCAGGTTTAGGCTTGGCCGAAGCCAGCGAGATGAGGGCGACAAAAATCTGAAGACAATAATCAATTTACAAATAACAAAATATATATATTTTGGATATCATTTGTAACTTGGTGGCGTAGTGGATAAGCGCCGCGGCCCGCGATCTTAGTCGTTACGCAACTTTCGGTCGGTCACGGGATGGGTGACCAAAAATCTCGAGTTACTTCGTGCTTCGGAAGGCGCGTTAAGCCGTTGGTCCCGGCTGCATTTGCAGTCGTTAATTCCCTCCAATCCGCATTGGGCCAGCGTGGAGGGTTATGGCCCATCCTCCTTAACCATCCATAAGGAAGGCCTGAGCCCCGCAGTGGGGACGTAAAAAGGGCTGATGATGGTGATGGATATCATTTTCATTGAGTAAACTGATTATACTTTAAAATACTGGGCAAGTGCGAGCTGAACTGGCACGCAAATGGTTTCGCAGATATGAAACTTTAAAATACTTTTTTTTTCAAAAATTTTTGGTTTCATTCATAGTGTCGGAGATGAATGGACAGAATTTCAATTTCTTTATTTTCTATCCAAACTAATAAAAATAAATATTAAACAAATATTATCCAAACTATTTATTCCAAAAACATATTTATTTATGATCTTTATAACAAGTAGTTTCATTTTAAATTAAAAAAATGTACCTATCTAATTTACTCCCTAAGAGAGTCATCATGTCTTAAATTTACGTGATGCCTTTTACGTGAGATGACCTAAGATGGCTGACCTAGGCCACTGAGTTACATATATATACTCGTATCAAACTAGTAGAAAACAAACAATAAAATCTGTCCTCTTTATATTGTTAGTATAGATGTCATTCAATTAGTCCAGTTGTATTGGAGGTAATCGACTGTGACAGACGGGCAGACACAAACAACCAAGTGATTTTAGAAATGTATTGGTGCGGAACCCTAAAAAGAAGTTATATACGACATCCGACCCAAATGGTTGGTTTCAAGGGGTCGCCATCTCTGAGACACTTGGGTCGATTCCAGGTCGGGTCAATGTAGAAAATTGACTTTTCTATATTGCCTCGGGTCTGGGTGTTGTGTTACAATCGTTGTATCAGATGCTCTATAATACGGAGGCTTTAGCTACTCATCTTAAATCTGAGCAATGTATTACATGGAAATAAAATATCTACGATTGTCTTTTAGCTCGGCTTGGTGGGCCACTACCGCGGCCCTAGATTGGCGAAAACCTTTTGTTTTATGGAAATATGAAAAAATCGTCAGTTTCGTCAAGTCTCGCATTGCATAATGGTTAGAGCAGTAGCCAGAACTGCGAAAGGGTATGACTATGAATACCATTTCGGGCACTAGAGGCTTGAAATTTGTTTTTTTTTCTCTATTAGATTTATAAATTAAACTTTTTTACTTTGTTTATTATTTTGTTATATTATGGTCTGATCTGTGATCTGGTAACTGATCTTTTTTCTTTTTTTTTATATATTTTTTTTATGGGATAGGGGGCAGACGAGCAGATGGATCACCTGATGGTAAGTGATTACCGTCGCCCATGGACACCTGCAACACCAGAGGGGCTACAAGTGCGCTGCCGGCCTTTTAGGGACGAATATGATCATAGGGAGGGAAGGGTTGAGGGGTAGAGGGAAGGGAATAGGGAGGGGTTAGGCCTCCGGTACCCTCACTCACACGACGAAACACAACGCAAGGGTTGCTTCACGTCGGCTTTCTGTGAGGCCGTGGTATCACTCCGGTGGAGCCGGCCCATTCATGCCGAAGCGTGGCTCTCATGTCTTTGTAATGTCATTTTTTTCACATAATTTATAATTATATTATAGTATAAATACGAAAATAAGTGTTAAGTAATAGTAATATGTCTCTTACCAGAGATCGCATGGTTTGAGATACCGTGGCAACTGAACTAAGAATGTAGTCTGTCCAATTATCGCAGTGCACGCACCTTTTATACCAAATTGCAATTTAATGCCGACATGAACGGATTTTTCATATCCTTACTAATAATTACAAATGCGAAATCACTGTCTGTTATTCACGCTTACATAAAACGTTGAAGCTATTTAGATTAAATATGATATGGAGATACATAGTATTCGACCCTGGGATAAGACAGTTTTTGTCATCGAAATCATTCTACGAAGTAGCGAAAAGAGGGGTTGACATCTGCCCCTCTATTCGTTTCTTCACTTCTCCTAGAAGTTAGTGTAGGAAATCGACAATTTTTTTAATATTCTTATAGGTCGATTCTCATCATAAGTCCATTCTTTTGATATATCACCAAAAATAGTTTGTTAAACTTTTTATTCCCCAAAAGAAACCTACCATATTTGAAATTTATTTTTATACGTTATTAAGCAGTTTTTTGGTTAGTGTCCGCTGTAATATATAGTTTATTACAAATTTCAATTCAATCTGTTCACTCGTTTCGGAAAAAATGGCTACGACAGACAGACCGACCGAGTGACCGAGTAAGTTTGTTTTACCTTTATTGGTACGGCACTAAGAAGTAAGCTATTGACTCGCTTCGATAAAGTTGACTGACTTACAGACTTTTGAATGATAAAGAAGAATAAATCCTGTAATAAACTGGAACAATGTTTTCTATAAGAGTTGAAAACAATCAAAAGCATCAAAGGCAATTTACTACATTTTCAATCAATACTTAAATTATAACACATTTAAAAATTCAGCTCCATGTGGGTCAGTTATGGCTCATACTCCTAATTTGATACCATCCATTGGGAAGATCATAATGATGATTTTTATTGATTTTTTGACCTTGAAATACGGAGATTTAGACTCTACAAAAGTTTCGAAACGTATGAAAATAGGGTCTAAATTTTATTTAGAAACCGCTTAAGGAATGTTTTATTAAATACTTGAGCGCAAAGACGAATTCGATTATTTAATTAAATGATTATCATTAAAAATTCTTTACTAATTAATAAAATGTCAATGGAAGGCCAGCGGAGTAATAAAATTCTGTGTCAAAGCATTAAATATAACACAAATATGCGTTCTATGTTTGGATCGGAGTATTAGAATTCATCAACTCGATTTCTGTGCAATCACCCTACTTTTATGGACATTCGAATAATTCTTTCTAGAGCAGTTTCCATAAATTATTTGATTTCTTATGCCCATATTTTTATTAAATGAATGTTATTTATTATCAACCACAGTTTCTAGACAGTCTGGAGACTTGTTTTTGTCACGAGCTCTTAGACTAATAGAACTCCTTCCTGCACTGGAAGCAGGGCAACTATAGGGGGGCAGGGCTGGTCAAATGCCACGGGCCCCCGACCCAAGAGGGCCCTGGTTGAAGAGGCCTCTAGGTCAGATATATATATTTTTGAATTGTCTGTAGAAAATTCTTTAAACTTTGATGATATTAAAGACACTTCTGCAGAACAGAAATCCCGTACAAAAGATTTTTCTTAATAAATATTTTATTGAAATTAAATTGTATTTCTATTTCATTATAAATGTATACAAGTTTCCTTACGATGTTGTTCCTTCACCGAAAATCTAGCGAATGGAAGATGAATATGAAATCTCCAATCCGCATTGCTGGCCCAATGCGGGTGAGGACTATATAGCCCATTCCTTCGCCCCTAAGAGTGGAGGCCATTTTTTCGATGGGTAATTATTTTACGCATACTCCCTGCCGTAGGGCGAGAGAGGGTTATGTGAGATTCTCGGAAAAACGTCGAACTACCCACTAAAACCCATCGGTTCCTTTCAGGTCGCGTTGAGTGGGTACGCTTGGGATCGCTTTTAGATCCAAGCGCTAAGAAAGGAGGCCTATGTCCAGCAGTGGATGCATGTAAATCTATAAACCCATGCTCTTGAAGATATAATTGTTATTAATTTTGGATAACTACATGTGGTTTATTTATAAAATTAAACTGAGTACAACGTGATGATAATTTCTGATAGGTCTCTCATCAAAAGAATTTGCTACTGGCTCCAGATGGTAAAGTTACGCCACTGACTGGAAGCTCTCAGGAAGACTCGATATTTAAAATTATTCGTGACAAAAATGAAAATTCTGAATTTTTTTAGAGTTCCGTAGATCTTGACTGTATTTTAAGTAATAAAAATCAAATAATAACGAGGTCAGATCTTAAAATTATTTGCCCTGCCTGTCAGCTTATGTTAAGATACATAATTGAAAATACACGCAATAATTCGGATTTATAACATTTTTAGAGGTAAGTAAAACTTAATCAATATAAATTGCTTATTTTGAAACAATCAATAAATAAATCTCTCGAGTATCTCGGTGGCGTAGTGGATAAGCGCCGCGGCCCGTGATCGTTGTCGTTAAGCAACTTTCGCAAGGGTCGGTCACGGGATGGGTGACCAAAAAATATTATCTTGAGCTACTCCGTGCTTCGGAAGGCACGTTAAGCCGTTGCAGCATTTGCAGCCGTTAATACCCTTCAATCCGCATTGGGCCAGCGTGGAGGGTCATGTGGCCCATCCTTCTTAACTCCTCCATAAGGAAGGCCCCCCTGCAGTGGGGACGTAAAAGGGCTGATGATGATGATGAATAAATAAATCATATAATAATGTCAATGGGCTAAAAACAAAAATAAAATATGTCAGTGAAAATTCTTTTATGCCCCATATTTAATAATTACAACATCAGACCTATCAATTAACAAACAATCAAAATAATTATGTATATAAATTACATATATATTTTTACGAAAATCTGAAATTGTAATAAGTTTACTTCCATGATAAGTCTTTGGTTGCTCTATATTCCATAACAGAACACGTGGAATTTAACTTGCACATATAAAGACCGTGTAAGTATTTATGTCAAATTATTATGCTATTTGACTATTTTACAATATTATAAAATTAATTTTTAGATCACGACATACAATTTAGAGTTACATCCTTTATAAATACAGACTTCAAACTTAAAAAGTGAGAAATAATAATATTTTTTTAATTTAATTACGTAATAAACTACTATTGAAATCGGGCTGAGGTTTTCTGTAGGTTATAAATGCCGTTTTAAATTGCCTGATTTTCTAAGTTAAAATGTATGTATTAATTAGAGTTAGTTACAAAAGATAATTTTGTAATCAGGGGGTCAATTCTACTAAATAAATTTTGTTTAAATCGAATCGAAAATGGATCGAAACCGAAAGAAACTAGAGTTTATGATGGTTATCCTACTCTATTCTACTAGACCTAGACGGATCGAAACCCTACGAAACTACAGTTTTTAATGGTTTTCCTATTCTATAAAGTGACATACGATACAATTCCAGTTCTATTTCAGCTGGAATTGTATCGTATGTCACTTAGTAGAATAGAAAAAACATTAAAAAATGTAGTTTCGTTTGGTTTCGATCCGTTTTCGATTCGATTTAAACAAAATTTATTTAGTAGAATTGGCCCCCAGTTAGTTTTCAATATAGTTTGCTCGTAGTACTTATCGTTAATAGAGCATATTTCATTATACTTATTTTTATTTCCTATCTTAATATTTCATTACGGCATTTTCATATTTAATGTAATAGTAGAAAACAAACTGTAGGTGTATTATCATAAAACGGTCATTAACCTGAGGATACAGTTTAAGCGAATTATAGGTACTTGACGAATTATCACGTGATTTTGGTACAATATTATAGTTTTGAAGATCAAGTTACTTAAAGTACGGTCGTAGGTGACTGTAGATGTCACTGATGTTGCCAAAATTATTGGAGACTATTGGGAAATCGTATTCTTACAAGTTGGAACTTATTAATATGGATACCACACCCTAAGTGATTAAGATAGGAAGTTAATTAACAGTAGATACTTTGTAAGCGCGATGCAAATTCCATACGTTGCACCTCAGCGCTATCTTTGGGCTGTGCGAAACAACTTATTGTTTTCATTTTCGATTATTGTGATGTTGGTGCAGTATGGTTGATGTCGCTGGCTTTGGGATCATCATAAACATAGGATATTTTGTAACATTATTTAATGTTTCCTTTATAATTTTAAAAAGCGTCCTGGAGAAATTTGCATTTGGAAGTTTAAAGCAAATAATATTATGAGAAAACAAATATATCAGTAATAAAAATAGGTCGCCTTTAGATCGATGGTCATCAATGATGCATGTGGCGTCGACTGGCCCCGGCTGATAAGTGAGGTCACGCGACTTCACATCACACCACCTATAGTGTTTGTATGACAGATAATCCATTAGTGTTTAAACACATAAGACCACAACAGGTTACAACTACTTAGAACTTAAATATTACATGTTATAATTTAAAATAAATTCTAAAAATCTGATATGTAGATTTACGAATCGGTGGTGCAGTGCAGTTATTGAAATTTCTTAAGCGTATACTTAGTTGAAATTCTTGACTTCATCAAGGAGAGGACTGCTGTGTAACGCAAAAATCTCGGGTTAACAGTCAGACTGTTGCTGTTTTCGGTCAACTGAATTTAAAAGAATAGAATATGATCTTTTAAACTGTCATGGAATCGACATTATGCTATGTGGGCTCAATAAAAATAAAGTAAATAATTGCAAACATGTAGGTTTTATTTTAATACATAGAAAAGAGAGTACAACTCTTTTCTTAAGAATGCAAATTTTATGTGTTGTGGGGTATTTTTCCCACCCAGTCTGATATTTCAGACTGAGAAGACGATATTTGTTTTGACAGTTCCCATCTCAGGGTGCCAAGGATCAAATGTTTTATTTTTAAGCATTATTCATTCGTTTTGGATCAACTGATAACCTTATTTATATTATGATAATATTATCATGATCATAAAATAAGACCTATTTCAAAAGGTAATAAGGCTTTATATGAAGATAAATTTTATTTAGTGCCGTCTCTAGGAGTTTATTTGATTTTGTTTTCCCTCTATCTCTATGAGGAACTTTATGTACATACATACATATCTACATATTTAGTGTAAGTAATCTTTGAATATATCTTAAGTAAATATATTCCTAACTACCATTACCCAATATCCTTAATGGTTTGGAAGTCATAGTACTCATTAAATGGCTTCGTTATGGTTTTCTAGGTTGAATAATTCATCGATCGAGCGGCCTAGATGGATGACCGGTTGCCTAAAAAGCGAGACGTGAAAATACCTATGGTCAGTCACTATGTTCTGAATTACTCAGTTTTTTTAGTTTTATTGTTTTGTATTAAATCATATATTTCAGTTGGAACTAAACATTCGTTGATCTTTTTGGTTTGGCAGTAGGTATTTAATAGGACTAGAAGGAAAAATTATAATCAAATCTTGCTGTTTTTTGTAGGTTCTTCCAAGATTGATAGTTTGTTTTCAGATTTCTCATAACTCCTTAATTAATTTAAATTCTTAATGAAAAAGGTTGAAAAATCCACTTTGTCCCTGGCACTCTGAGATGGGACTCGAACCCGTCACCTTCCGCAATCCGGGCGACTGTTCTGATTCCCATCCCATGATGATTTTTCATTAAGAAATTTTTTCAGTATAGCACTGTGAATGTAAAATTGGTCAAATATAGTAATCTTAATTTTTTGTATTATTATACAGTATTAACTGTGTCATATTCCAAGATGACTAGCAAAAGCTCTATACTATGAAGTATCTGAGACAACGAAGGCACAATTGCACCCAAACCCGAGAAAAGTCCATTTTCTACATCGACCCGATTGAAAATCGGGATCTCAGAGATTGCGACACCTTGAAATCGGCGTACGATCGATAAGTAGTGTTGTGTTGTTATCAATATTATAAACGACTTATGGATATATTAATATTAATCATATACCTCTTTTCCGTGTTCTGTGATCATATATATATAGACACATGTACTGGATAATTCGCATCATTGTCAGACTTAATATATTTTTTCAGTATTTTCCAAAAGTTTCGGGTCACTGAAAAAAATATCCTATAAAATGCCAAACTTAACCATAGATAAAAGAGAATTATTAACGCATTAGCTTTTATTATTCTAATAAAAACATAATACTTCGCATGGTTTGGGTATATACAAAGTTTTTTCTAAACGCTAGAATACTTTTAATTGTCAGTAAGTTCATCCTGTAAAAATATAATGAATATAAATAAACAAACTTACTGTAGGTGGACGGAGAAATAAAACATTTTTTGTTAAAAATAAATGAGTATTAGTTGTAATTATTACTCATTCATTACGCTGTAATTGATTTCAGTGATTTTAAATCAATTTCAATCTTTTTATTTCATATTGAGACAACTAGTGACATCTATTTAGTGATTAATGCACTAGTGTAGCATACGGTCAGCATAGCCTTTCATATTTTACTTTGTAAGCCTGTGCTATCGCGTACCTACTTTATGGTGAAGTATATAGTTAATACACATTCGTTATAGATGTCGGCTGTACGTAAATTATAGCATGTCACCCGCGTATGATGTAGCTTCCCGTAGGCACGGAATGCCGTAGGTGAATATTTTTTTAAATGGGTCGTGTAGTGTAGATGGCTATTCAAACAAAAAAACAATTTAATCTTTCATTTCTTTAATATTGATGTAGACTATACTTATTTAATGTTACTAGACGCAACAAACCACTTTTCCGGAATATTTTTATATTATATTTTTGCATGTTTTTCTATGTCTAACACGTTCAAGGTCAAGAAAAAAATATAAGATTTTCCATTCGGGTCATGACGTCCACTTGACCGTCAACTTCTCTTTCCTGGCGGGCGTCGCCCATAGTGACCCGCGTGTCAGAGGTGTTTTGAATCTTGTCTAGTGAGCCAGCGGACGTAAGTATAATGTAAACTTACACGAAAGGGGACCCGCGTGGCACTTTAGACTACTCATATCATTTGGCTTGGATGTTGCATGATTTTTTTTACAGAAATTCTACAATTCTCTACTCTTTTCCTAAAATTCTAAGAAGGAGAGATTGTATTATTGGTAAAATTGTTTGTGATGGATGAATAACGAGACCGATTTAAAACAATCTTGTCAGAATAACCAGCGCCGTAACAGGTTAATCTGCTCTGTTTATGGCTGACGTAAATCCTGTAGGATAATTGTTTAATTTCAAAATCTTTCGCTATGCCTCTTAAATATCTATCGCTTGTGACAGCGATTTATGGCATTACTTAACGTTTCAGGTCGCAACCGCTTTAGGAATAAATGATGGTAATATATTGAATTGAAATGATCAAGTTACTAAATAAAAACTCAGTAACTAAAACTTAAAGAAAAATTTGCGTCTAACACTTAAATATAAATCAAATAAAAATATCGTTCATTTAATATCTTTAAAAAAAAAGTTCCAGTTTAATTCGCTATCATAAGTCAAATGTGAAACGTCAACTTGAAAGGGATTACAATAGATTGGTCACTGCACTTAAATAAAAATAATAGGCATCTATTTTGCTAACGCATAACACAACACATTATAAATATATGTGCATTGTATGCTACTATTGTATGTGGCAAATAAATGTATTTTCTTTCTGTCTATATAGAATACCGAGCAGCCATTTAAGATGAGTATTAGTTACTTTGAAGTTGGTTTTATATTTTAAAAAATATGCGATTTTAAAAAGTTGTGTCCGATTCACGGAGATATTGGTAAACATACGTGAAACAATATTCCCGTCGAACACAGAACCTTTTCCTATATTATTTTGAAATCGGTAAAAAATAAATCAATAATATAATTAGTTGTTATAATTATATTATTAAATAGTTGTTATTTTAATTAAATAGTTGAATTCATTCACAATTAGTCATGTTAAATTATGAAAAATAATATTAAGCGTTTTAAAATTTTCGTAGCAGTCGTAGTTCGTAGCAAATACCTACGAAAGTGTGTTTTTAATCCATCCATAACTGTTATTATTAATGTGTACGAGGTTCTTTTGCTATAGTATAATAAAAAAATAATGTGTTGATCTCGGAGTATGTAATCTTATTACACAATGAGAATGTCTTATTTGTTTAGACAGGTATGTTACGATTTGTTCATTTTTCGGAAATAAATTTCTGTCAAATAAATGTTTAGTTGTAAAAGAAGTTCGATGGTGTAATCATTAACGGGCGCATTAGATCTGAGATAAGAAAGTTAAACAACTTTGGTAATGGCCGATTATATGATGGAAGACCAAATTTTTTCATTTCACGTTGTGTGCTTTGAAAGGTACCTTAAATCAATGGTGATGAATAGTTTCATTATTATTTATTTATATTTACTTATATTTAATTTAGTTATTATTGTTGCCTGTTTATTTTTAATAATTATATATTTGACGAGTTCCGTGACCAAGTGGCTCTTACGCCCGTTTTAAGATGTCGCCATCACTGAGGTCCCAGGTTTGATTCTCAGTCGGATCGATATAGAAAATAGACTTTTCTCGGAGACTTCTTTGGATTGGGTGTTATTACTTTTGTTTTTTTTTCAGTTTCCAATAATACAAGTGCTTTTAGCTATTTATCTTTGAATCTGACTAATCATATGTCATATGAAGTTACCATAACACCCAGACTCGACCAGTAATATAGAAAACAGCGATGTTTATATGATGTTATCCGTCACATGTGATATGTAATATTTATTTATTTATATTTATTAGTACTAGACACGTGACACGGCCTGTGACTTCAAGTGTAGCAAGGTGATTAATGTAGTCAACTCACGTCCTTGTTGCGACAAGTGTCCTTTATAATAGACACTAATCCGTGTCGCCCGTGATATAATCTATGGTAATCGTAGTTTGTGGGTCGCAGTGGCACCGACTAACTGTTTATTTGTAACGTACTGTGATGTCGCAAAAAGATACTCATCATCGATGTTGTTTGCTCGTGTATGAGGAGTTGTCTTGTTAGTTAATTGCAGTGTTATTCTGTAAAAAATCAGAGTCGAACTCGACGTTGTCACAGTATAAAAGTTCAATTAAATACAACCTGCGCCAAAAGGTAATAAAGGTTTTATTTTATTGTAGCTCTATGATGTGGCAGCGCTGTGCTCGACGTCGAGTTTGAGGTTGTTTTATTAAAGAATATTGAAGCAGGTTTTTTTTCCACCCGTGGAGATGACATATGTTTTTTTTTTATATTATCTACATAATTGAAACTAATTTTGTAAAAATCATGAATAGTATTTGATATGCTTCTTGATTTAAAAAAAAATTAAAAAACTTGAATATAATTAAATATTTTCTTTTCCGTTATTTAGTTATATTGTATAAACATTTGATGGATATGTAATAAGTGATTTGAAAATTCAACTACGGGAGACCAAACAACAGTTTCGTTTGGTCGTCCTCTGGATCCTAGATCCACCCTTCACTCAAAATGATACATTGAATGGAGTTTAGTGGGTAAACCACATACATCGCTTAGATCCCAAATTATCTAGCCTTTATTAAGGAAACGAAATAATGAAGGTTGGTATCCAACTCACTAGACTCCAAATAATATAGAAAAGTGACTGGGAATTGAATCCGGGACCTCGGAGATGACGAAATCGAACGCAGTTATACAAAATTGTAAATACAAAATTCACAATAATGACAATAATTCATCATAGTAGTTTAAATATATTTCACTACCTGTTATTCCGCAATTTCGTCCACATAAATTACCCGCGTATGATGTGACTTCTTGTAAATGTTTTTTTTTTCTCAGTAGTCCAAAGACTTCATTGTCTGTTTCATCAAAGCAAGCAAACAATTAAATCTTTTTCTTATTATAAAATTATTATAGATGATGTGCTTAGGTCACGATATCTAATGATATCTCCCACAAAATAAATTAAAGGCTTTTAGCTATTTATTTTTATATATTTTGCTTATACATACGTTGGATATGTTAAAAATAATGAAGTATTGATAAAATACATAAATATTCTTCGAGTACACCCACCCCAGATTCAAACAAGGTTTTTTGCTATGAGCAATGGCATATCCCGTGAGTTGTGTTACAGGAAACATTGAGTTGTTATGTCATTTTCCTGTAGTGCATGGGACGAGTTCCAGTAACCACTTTCTAACTTGGTTATCAGGTAGAATAACAAACTTAAGGCTTTAATTTACTCTAGTATATTTCTTTTTTACGTTCTTAGCTATCCTAGCTTCATGTATTTATGACTTGAGACGATATTTTTCCAATTTTTATAACCCTTTTGCTAACTATTACTGTTATTAACTATACATTTTAAGACTGCATTCAACTAAAATGTGAAAATGCGCACTATATGCTTCCACGCGACTTTGTCCTCATAAATTGTAGTCAGTAAAAAAATCGTAATAATCAAATATTTCGTCTTTATTATATAAGTATATATTTCATAAGTAGTGTGTGCCTAGACGAAGGAGAGAATGTTAGTTATTTATGCTGTTCTGGTAATAATTCAGTATTTTTTAATTTAAACCTGGCCAACCTACACTTTTTAATTCTTATATATGGCCCTCTGTAAACTTGAGTTTGACACCCCTGCCTTAAATCATATTGTATGTGTAAGTATGATGATGTATAAATAAATAGGAAATAAAAGAAAAACAATAATGTTCTCATATATTTTTATTACAAAAAGTTGGTAGTTAAATAGTTTTTAGTCGACTGCGGTCGAAATAAACTCTTAATCAATCATATAATATGACTAAATATAAAAGAAACTATATACAACAGTTCACAAACCAGGTACATATCCAACTCGTATGAAGCCTTTTCTTCTGTACAATATAGAGATCAAGTGAAAATTATGAAAGACAAATTAAAAAAAATCTTTAAATATAAAACTTTTCACAGATACATCAGCAAATTACAACCTCTTTGAATCGATTAACGGTTTTTCAGGTTTAAAGTTCAATTAAAGCTTTCAAAATTTTAATGTAGAGTCGCTTTTATAGATGCTCTACAATCTTATTCGGCAAAGTAAAAAAGATTAGTATACTATTCTCGGTTTTCCGAAAAAACAGATGTTAACAGATGTATGATAAAATTGTAAATTTTATCATACATCTGTTAACATCTGTTTTTGAAGGGTGTATAACCGCTTAAAACTCTGTGTAGATGGCAGCACCAGTACATATAGTAAACAAATAAACTTTTCAAATATTTTGCATTTTGGAAATGAATGAGTCTCGTCCTTCTTACATCATTAAGGTGCATGCGTGTTCAACTCAACGACATCACTCAAGCATGGCACTATGCGTGATACGTTAGTTAATGGCGTAAGTTAATAACCAAAATCGCGATTTTTCGCGCCGGTGTCGTCATGGACTTTACTACGTCTTCCTTTTACTACTCTCGCAACTCGTTTGAGACCCAAAAATATGCTACGGATTGACAATCAGATTCATTAAAAACCTATTTTTAATTTGCTATTTAGATAAAGCTTCAATACATCACAAGAATGGAAAAATATTTTTATGGCGTCATTGCACTCGTCCCCACTCTATTCGCTTTTCTCAAGATAAAACTAAGAAAAAAGCTCCGTTTCTTATATCTAAAGTAATCTAAACATCACAATTATTCGTATGATTCGCGTGACTTAGTTTAATCCCATATGAAAATGCCTTTATAACTATTTTTATTGTAAACACTCGTTATTTAAAAATATCATAACATTTCATATTTTTTTACGAACATTCCTCAATTTTTAACCGATGGCACGTAATTATGTCGTTCTTATAGAAGGATTATAGACAGAGCAAGGACAGGTGCCTTAAATCAGAAACGTTCCTCGGTTAGAAAAAGAAAGAGAAGCTTTATCTCTCTGTACTAAAGCATGCACCGGATAGAGAAGCTGTAAACAAATTTGCGAATCTTTCTGCGTTGTCCCTTTTCCGCACCAACTTAGAGCTATCCTAGTAGCGAGAAAGGGGTAGTACAGTGGTCTTCTTTCTCCTTCTACAAAAAAAAATGAGGGCTGACTTCCCTGCTCTATTTATTATATACCTCTGTGTTCATTCTTCAATTTGAAAATAACGAGTGCCGACGTCACCAGTCTACCAAAGTTTGGCATGCCCAGATATTCCGTGAGCTGATAGTCCGTGAGCGGCATAACCGTGACCGTAAAGGCCGTCTCCTAGGACTGGACCGGTTATATGAGCGGGTGCTGCGATCACGGACTTCACTATCGGCACTGCCACGGGTTGAGGCACAGGTACAGCTACCGGTTTGGGCACTGCAACAGGGTATGGCTGGGGTACGGGAACACCGACCTGGAATTAATGCAATTGTATTTCATTAAAACAAGGTTTAATAAGCCGTGTCCTTTTAAAGTTAGATGGCGAAGCGGTTTATCGTGTTTGTTAAGCTTTCACAAAGACTGACCATAGGAAGGATGACCATGATTTTATAACCACCAGCTCCTCCGTACTCCTGAATGTATGTTAATCTGTTGTTTCCAGCTATACCAGCAGATAAAGCTACCTGGTCGTTGACACCCATCAATCCTCACTGGTCTATTATCCCTATGCGCTTTTAATCGATTCCATATATACATAATGTTTTTATTACAGCAGTAGGGATATCAATAGGCTGGAGACGATGACATGATTCAAATATTTAGTTTAAGCATTTTACGAGTATCTAACAATTGAAATGGTCCAAATTATCTATACATGTATATTGCTTTAACATATAATAATTAAGATTGCGTTATTATTACGTTCACTCACTTGTTTAATGACCGGGTAGGGTACAGCGTGAGGCACAGGTACAGGTACGGGCCTGTCAACGGGGACAGCGACATGTTTTTCAACAGCTACAGGGTACGGCTTAGGCACAGGGACTGCGTAAGGTCTGTCAACAGGAACTGGCACTGCCACCTGGAATGTTGGAATATAGGTAATAAATTATAGTATCTATATTACTACTAACTCGATAGAAGACAAAAATGTTCATGAATTTACGAGATCCGGGTGTCGTAAAGGTTTTAATTCCTTTTCCTGTAGTCGTAACTTGAAATAACTTGAAATATTAATTCATTAAGCAATTCATTGGACGAACTTAGCACTTTTCAAATTGTGATGGTAAAAGCCCAAAAATCTTCTTTTTATAATATTCTTACATTCATCAAATCATGTTGGTAAATAAAATTTAAGATTAACCAACAAACAGGCTTTTACAGTAACACATATACTAATTATAATTATAAAACAACAAACCTTGACAGGGTAAGGTACAGGTCTGTCAACCGCCACGGGGTACGGCGCTGGGACGGGTACACCCACGTGTTTAGTGACAGTAGTGTGAACGTCCGCCCCCACAATAGTGCCTGCGCTGTATCCTAGACTTGGACCCACCGCGGCACTGTACCCTAAGCTCGGTCCCACTACGCCCCCGTATCCTACGGCCCCGTATCCTATGGCCCCGTGTCCTATGGCCCCGTGTCCTATGGCTCCGTGTCCTATGAGTGCGCCCCCCACCCCTGCGAGACCGTAATGGCCAACTAAGCCGCTACGTTTCTGAACGACCTTGCTTGGTTCTGCTAGAACTGAAGCGGTCAGGATAAGAACTGCTACCTGTAAAAAGAAAATTTTGGAAGGTGTTAACATTGTTATTTAAAGAATTTATATATTCAAAATAAATCACTTATTTGTGAAGTTTATTTTATTTATCGTGACAATGTTATTTGCGTGTAGATTTATTTGTTTTACAAATATGAACATTTAGACATAAATGGAGTTGGATGTAACAATAATTAACTTGAAATAAATTGACTTAAAAATAAAAGTATAGATTTATGTAACTGCTTGTTCAATATATAGCTATAAAAGTTTATCGGCAAAATATGTTGGTGAGATATATAGTATATAGTGGATAAAACTTCTTAGGGATAAAAAAATTGGGAGATTAGTAAACAAAATCAACACTATTCCACTCCTATACAAATTACGTGGTACCATTAGCCAGTAGTTTAAGATACAGTTAAGAATAATATACCTTCATCTCATTTGACTCATTGACTGTGATAGAGTTCGTGCGTTTTCGTGAAATTTCGTGCATCAGTAAGAGTCTTTTCTCTTATAATTTCTCAAATAAAAACGAAATAATAATCGAAAAAATACAACCGGTATTTTACTATCCGGTATTACCGGTATTATACTCTTTGGGCCAATTATGAAATTGCCAAGTTGAAACAGATTCACAGGTTACCTATGTTGCTATTGTTAATTGCATCAGTTTTCATTAATGAAATAATATTTTTCATTTTGTTTTCATATTCACAGCTAAGCTTTCTTACGGATGTTATAACTCTGCATCTTTATCAATCATCGCCACACTAGTTACTTGTATATCAAAACTTCCTTCTAAACTTGGTTCTTATATATTGCAGAAAATCTCTTGATTATCAGTTTGGTTGGTATTGAATGCATTCGTTATATAAATAACTTTATTTTATAAAATTTAACTTGTCCGAAAAAAATCGTTTATTTTTTATAGATGAGATTATAGTCATGAAATCACTGACGATTGTTTTGGATGTTGCATCCAATGTTCGAATGCGTTATGAAGCGACAATGACTCGGTGACACTTTTACTTGTTACGCGGTGTGACTGCATCGATACATTGATATTCCGTATCGGAAATCGAAATTGTGTACGTGATACGAATATGTCGTGTCGCCGCCATCTTTGTTATTGTATGCAAATTGGATTTGTTTTGGTAATTAGCTGACTTTATTCTGTTAATGTCCTAATAAGATTATTTCAGTTATTTCCACAGTTGGCTGAATAATCTGAGTATATTGTCAGACTATATGTTAAGTTATTACCAGAGGTCGGAATTAGGTAGAGTTATTTATGTACTTGTATCGAAATATTGATATTAATGTAGACCTTACCGGGATTTCTTTATTTCTTCTTTCTTTATTTCATTGATGTAAGTTTGGCAACGTCGTGCGTGCAGTAGTTTAAATTGTGTAAAAGTAAATAACTTTTTATTTAAAAAATCACGGGATTTTTTCTGCTCTTTAAAATAAATCTCGGGATTTGAGGCATATCCACTTTATTCTTTCGCTGTATGAAATCAGTGTGAGTACATGAATAACTCTACCTAATTCCGACCACTGGTTATTACTTATGTATTATTATCACGAAAAATATTGAGAATTAACGGACGCTTATGAACGTCAAATTGACACAAAACCATCTAGGTGCCTGCTTAAAGAGGAAGTAAGATGTAGACTTATACGCTGAAGGTACTTCTTTGGGGCGAGAATTTAAAAGAACAAAGAAGAAACGAGAGTATGATCGGCAATTGGTTTAGGATACTGTGAAACTAAGAGATAGGCGCTCTCGTGGTGCTCTTTTAAGCCCGTAACAGATGGCGAAGATACTATTATATGATATCTTAAGATAAAATATCGCTCACTATACAATCCAATGACCGAACTCACACGGCTACTAATCGATTCCACGGTCTGCTGTAAAACTATGACAGTAGTAGGAACGTAGGAACTTTGAAATAAATATAGTTTTAGTTAGGGATAATAAACCATTGAAATCAAAATCATTTTTTATTACATACATTTTAAGTACATTCTAAAAATATAAATTTATTTTTGGAATTTACTTTTAAATCACAAATGTTCCACAGAACGGTCCCCCCACTGCAATAACAATTTTGTTTAGCCAAGCCATAATACAACTTGTTCCTTTTATTTTTATATCGATTTTGGGAGTAGTGTTTTTAATATTCATTTTTAAAATATTTTTCTATACATAATATAAATTAAGAATTTTGAACGCATATAATATATTTAGTTAACGGCACTTTATGTCTCAACTCTTACTTTCAAATCGACAGTTAATTATTATTCACATATTTTGTAAAATAAAAGTAATTGGGTTTAACCATTGAACTACCCGAGACACAACTAACTTCTCAAGCATTTTTTACTTTTCGCTACTAGCGGGTGTATTATCATCAATGTTCAGGAAATTCACCCAACGCATTTATAAGCATTTTTCATTAAAGATGTTTAATATTGCTAAATTGAATGCACGATTGCTTAAATGTAATATCTACTTAAGTTAAGATATTTTCTCTAGTAATTACTTCTTTCTTAGTAATTATTTAATGTATACGACAAATAATTACTTTATTTATTATTATATTTGAACAAGAAATATTAATAGTTACAATACTATTATTATTAGCTTTGCTTATGTTATGACATTTTCTCAAGTCATTCCTTCTCTTGACTATAGATACGAGAGTAAATGTTTTTTTAGAGAGTAAGTATTTAAGTAATATTGAATTAACAAAATGCTGACGGACATTAACTTCAGAGTTTAAGAGTATGTTGAAAATATAATCACGTATTTTTTAATGTAATCATTAAATACGACAATACATTGAGTTAAAATGTCGCATGGCGTCACGCTTTTGTATATTTTCTACAAAATTGTGACGTAGCGAGCCCCCACTCCTCAATTTTAACGCCTAAGATATTTCTTGTTAAATTGAAATTAAAACAATACGTATCTAATATTTTACTATTATCTGACTAACGGACTAAATGTTTTTTTTGTTTTTTACCGAGTTGTCATCCCTATTCGTAGGTACTATTTATTTATTGGGAAACAGATCAGGAAAATTAGAAGACTTTTAAATTACATCAACACATACATAGTATAAAGCAAAGTATCTTCTGTCCCGTCTTCCGTTATGCATGTTTAGATCTTTAAAACTACGTAACGGATTTTAATGCAGTCACTTTTAATAGTGATTTAATAGAAAGGTTTTTATGTTTAAGCCTTTTTATTGAAAGGAAAAATTAATATTATTATAATAGATGAAAATTTTAAAACTATTTTTTGTTACATATACAACTAAAAAACATCACTCTAAGCGGGATTTTAATATACCAAGCCGGGCAGATACTTTCAATCACTAGGCCACCGAGGTTCTTATCTGTTTACTTTAATAATAGTGACTTGTTTATAAGCATTATGAACTATGTGATAGTTATGTAAAGAAAATTAATGATAAAATTTTATTAATATAAAAATAGTAAATGAAATAAACAATGCAAACATAGACTCCAATAATATAGAAATACTTTTGTGAGGTAGCTTTTAAAGTTTATTATTTAATTTGTGTTATTAATAATATTACAATACACTTACTAAAGCCTTCATTTTATCAAAACTATAACACTGCACTATTTATGTGTACACACGATATTGGGCACTGTAAGGCACAGCGGTCACTGGGCATGTATTTCTGTGGGACTCCCGCAGTGGTTATATATAAGGCTCACTATGCCCCACTCAAGGGCTGAACTTCAAACGCTAGGTATTTGCGACACACAACACTAACTGTTCTCGTTACAGTTGTAGGAGCAATTCAGGTTTTATTTAAATAGTCCAAGTTTTGAATAATGATGTTCAGATAAAAATTATGAGGTACGAGTACTTTATATCGTTTAAAACTATATCTCTCTATGCCGATGGATAATAAAAACAAGAACATCAAGTGCTTGTTATATCATGAATTTGTATAAATTATCTAAGAATATTTTATATTATTTGTAAGTATAATAAGTAACAATAAGACTATTTATCTTAACTATGTATAAAACTATAATAGATAAAAATATAGCCGAATTCATTGTCAACTGTTTAAGTGCATAGGAGGCTGAGAGCGTTTCCTCTTTGACTAGCCAGACTAATCCTTTGGGTGGGCTACAAATAAGCCTTCCGATGAATTTATCTTAATTTCGGAGCATTAATAAATCATTCAAACGAAATAATAAAATTGGAAAACTTATTGTTTAGTTTCTGAGTGATTGAGAAGCGAAAATATTTGTGTTATGGAAATCGGAAATTAAGAAAGGTGCCATAATACCATTGACTGTATTAAAAATATTATTTTCTATATTGACTTAATTCTCGGTTAAGTCAATATAGAAAATGATATTTTTCATAAACATGTCACGGGTTCTCAAAAATGGTGGGACCGTGAAAATGACATAAGTTGTCATACCTATCTATCAAACAATTAGATAGGATAAACAAATATAGCACTAAAACAAAAGTATGAACAGTTTCCTATACGATATATGTTTTTATATATATATTTTTATTTTATAAAACAAAATCGATATCGCGAAAGAATGTATCAAATATTGTAAATGTTGTATAATTTTATTATTATTTAAAACGGTTATTCCGTATAAAGCTCAGACATTCTGCCTGGTGCCCAATTTCGAAAACTGACCATACTTATTCGTTTCAAATCATTTCCCTGACCATAATAATGAGAACTATCTTAGTTGTATCCTTTATAAGTATGTTATATTGCTTTTGATGTATGAAATGGGTGCCGGGTCTCTAATAATAATGGTGCTATGTTAAAGTAATATTTATTAACGAAGGATCCTTGCACAAATCCTATTGTCACTTATTTTCTGCAAATATTAATTATTTACATATAATTATATTTATTTAATACATATATTCTTTATCTATAATGATATTATCAATCTAAAATGTAGACAAATGACTAGCCGTATAAAAAAACAACTAGATAGATTTCTAGCATTAAAAATTAGCAGTTTCCTAAAACTTAAGATACCTATGTTGATTTAGTATTTAAAATTATTTATGTTTATTATAGAGGGTAAAAATTAAGGAAATATTTTAAGAACTTGAGAACGAGAACATATTCTATCATAGTTTTATCTTAAATAGAACGTTCATTTGGCATCAAAAGAACGATTCAAGGTAGCGAGGTGATTGTTTTGTTTATGAGTAAATCTTGAAATTTACGTGATAATTCTTTTTTTTTCAGTGTTAAATATAATTAATAAATATTAGTTCGGGTCCAACTCGCTATTGGCCGGTTCCTTATTTTATATATATTCACTGACTTTTCCGTGAGTAAAAATCGAATTAGTGGTTTTGTTTTTTAACGAAATAACTGGAAGCGTTCTTCCAAA